TGAATTCCGTTACTAATCGAAACTTCGCCTCTAGTCACATTCAAATGCGTGACAATAATATACGCACCTAGAATAACAGAACTTTAACTTTTAAACAAAGTAAGAAAACAGTACGATGGATTATGTTCAAAGAATCAATAATTGTATTAATATATCATCACAAATCTTCATATCTTATTTAGTTTAAAAACTGTTTCCATATTTCTTAATTACATTTCTGGTGTCCAATGAAATGTATAAATATGTGGTTTAATGTGGTTTAATCTTGTAAGCCTGGTATAATGAAATAAGAAGCCATTTTCATATCCAATAGTATGCTTCCATTCTACTCTTTCTTTAATATAAGAGATTAAGTATTACACCCCTGCAAAACTATATGTAAAATTACATTTTATATATATTTTTATTCGTTGTACCTTTAGATAGCTGGCAGGGAGGCAAAATATTCTGAACTGAATGGTAGCAAGCATTCCCCGAATTTAATCTGCGTCTTACACTGAGATTAATCTGGTTACCAATGTCTAAAAAGAGAAGGAATATCAGAATTGGAGCGACACTGGTTACTAACGACTTTTTTCTATTATTCTTGAAAATAGCTGGTGACCGTTCTGGACAACTGCTGATTTAGATACACCTTACTTCATTCTGCCTAGTGAATGCTGGGAAAATACTTAAAAAAACAAGCAACAGTCACTTCCTCGTTCCTTACAATTAACAGACTTCTTAAAAGAATATTGAAACCTGCATTTCAGTCCTAAGTGGTTTGGAATGCTGTATCTGACAGTTTTGCAGGAGTGTTCGAAGTCACATTAAGTTGAATTGTGTTCAGTTAAAATCGCTTTCATATTCATAATTTGTGTATAGAAAATGTCCAAACGTTGAATCTGTACTTGAACCTGAATTCCAAAATGTAAACAATTGAGAGATTTTTGACAATTTTTGAACTGTAGAACTTTACTTACTGGGGTCTCTTGCGAGAGATCAGTGCCCTGACAACACAAACGTACACCCTGTTTTACAGGGAAATCACAGATCCCGGAGAGATTTTACGGATATATTCAAACCCACAGGGCAAATTCTGACATAGTACACGCAATTCTTTATACAATTACGGCCCTATCAACGGAACATACCATAACCTATACAGCTAGCAGCATAATAACATTCAAAGCGATTAATCTGGAAGCTGAAATGGATATATTTATTTATATTTTGGACATGGGTATATTAATATCAATATTAATTGAACCTGTTAGATTCGTGCAGTAGTACAGTTATAACCAAATAAACAAGAACTGAAATAACTAGGATTGAAAAACATTGCTTTCCACTTACCCCATGTCATCCATGTCATAGAAACGCATGACTGAATAGAAGGCAAATCTTCACGCTGTAGTAATTTTAATCGCGAAACGCTTGGAAATTTTAGGTGTTTCGTCACATAGAGTATGGCACGTATAACCTGCACAATTTAACAATGCTGTAGTGAGGTAAAATAAATAGAATGTGACTGACGAAAATGTTGAAAATGGCGCAATTATACCGGAAATGCGGCTTAAACGTAATCATACACGTCGATATATTTCGACCCAGAGATACAAACAAAACATACTCCGTGGTTCAGTCCTCCAGCGAACTACATCGACCGAGCGACCGCCGCTTGTCGGTGAAGTTAGTGCCAACTTAATGATAGTGGTCACGTGGTCAGCGCAACGTGAGTCTACGGCCGTTGATTTCGGTTTTCTAGACCGGAGCCGCTATTTCCTTGAAATAGCTCCTCAGTTATCAACACGAGGCTGAATGGACCCGTCTCCAGAAACACTAATTCCCAAAAGAAATCTGGTAGCGCCGGGAATCGAACTCTAACCACTATAACCACTAGACCACAGTGCCGGTAGGTAAGAATAGAATATATCTAACCAGTTAGACTCAGTATATCTTGCCATCTAGTTTCTATGCTCGAAACTATGATCATGCAACGAATTACGTCTTCCATTTGGGAGATAGAAGTGTCCTTAAATTTAGGCACAAAATTGAGAACTTTAATATTACGTAAATCAAATTGAAATCTATGAATGACAATGGCATTGGAGTAAAATTAAGTGTAATGAGATTTAATGGTATAAAAAGCTTTATGTTTTATACAATTACGTGACGAACTCCTTACTATGAGAAATGTGCGCAAATTGTGTTTACTGAAAGCAAAATGCCATGGGAAAATATTTTGATCCAAGTGGAATAGTTAAGAATTTAAATGAAGACGTTAATAATATCACATACTGTCAAGTGCAAGTGGAATAATTGAAGGAAGTGATTGATGGCTCGGCAAGGATAAAGGAAGCCACATGCCTAATTAGGACACTGTCGCGGCATTTGGTGGGAGACTTATAAAGCCACCAAAAAAGAAAACCGTCAGAATGAACACTGACTCAGCTGACGTACAAGCTGGGAGCCTCATTATAACAGTCCTGTGCATTACCCTCGAGTCACTTCATTCACTCAAAAACTGAACTGGGAAACTTCAATGGAAACCTTTATAATTACATTCTAATATATCTATTTAGGGTCTCTTTTTTTAATTTAGAGCTGCAGTGTTATAGATGTTGATTAGCTGGATGTGTTATTTAGATGAGGAAACAAATGTATTTACACAAAATGTTGATTTTAATATATATTTGGACACCATTAACAGTAAGTGTATTGTAGGGAAATATTTCACTGCTTGTTGATTCCTATGGTTTGCCTTTGCTTTGTTATTATAATATAAAGTCAGTTAAAACTATTAATATATTATTACCAAATTAAACCTTAAATGTACACCAAAATTGGAGCATTAATCTAGCTCAACATTTTGTATGTCAAGCATCATCTACAAGTAAGGAGTAGGGCCACCTGTTGACCTGTTCCAGCCTCATTCATTCCAATAGTGTCCTCAAATTTCCAGGTTCCTTGATCCATGTTGTTTGTAATTTTTTAATAATTTCAGAAGTGTATTTTGTTACATTTCAATGACATGTTGAATCAAATTGGTGTCCTGTTTCAAAATTTTGCACAATATGTGTTCTGTTTTCGATCTTTTAGTATATTTCTATTTCTTTTATATTTTGTCCAAGTTCATGTCAGCATTCAACTCTTAAATTTAATTCCAGCACTTGTAATTCTGGTTACATTCTTTGTTTCCATTATCAAACTTCTACACCTACATAAAAATAGCAGTAAGTTTAAGACTACAAGTTAACAACTAACTAGCTAACTCCACAAAACTGAGTCTCCCTTTAGGAACCAATATTTGATCAGCCATTAAAAAATTCCAAGTGTTTTATTGAACCTGGAGGATCATAACCATGCTCACAAAGGTCTATTAGTTATCCCTATTCTGAGCTAGCTTAATCCAATCTATACCCTTTCTCCTGTTTCTTGTATATATTCTTACATTTACTTCTGTGTCTTCCAAGTGGTTCGTTTTCTTCAAGTTTCCTTACCAAAACTTTCCATCCACTTCTCTCCCATGCACACTACATGTTTTGCCCATCTCACCCTCCTTGATTTGATCATACCATTATTATCTGGCAAGTTGTACAAATTATAAAGTTCCTCATTAAGGAATTTGCTCCACCCATCCTGTTACTCTTTCCCTTTTAAGTCCAAATATTCTCTAAGCCCCATGTTCCCAGTACCCTGAGTGTATGTTCATCCCTTAAAGGGAGAGACCAAATCAGTAATTAAGATAAGACTAAAATTTACTCACTAAATATATTTGCTGGTAGGGTGTAACAGTAAATGTGGCAATTATTTTAAGTCATTGCCCATGTCTTGGGGTTTTCAATTGCATTATTTTGGAAACTGGGTCTGTTTTCCTTTTCAGGTATAAGGGAGGGAAGGTTTCTAATCAGAACGGATTTTAGTGGCCAGTGAAGAATGCTAGGACCTTGTAGTGGACAAAGCTGAGTAAAATGTCTTCTTCTCTTACAGATGATGATGGAAAAAGCTTCAGTCTTCAGAAATATTGTTCTTTGAAAAACCTCAAGGAAAAGGACATTTTCCAGAATAGTCAGTTTTGAACACAGCAACTAGCTTATTGTTTAACCCCTTGACTGGCAAGCGCCACTGTTGAACTTTGAGGTAGAAATGTCAAGGCTCTTTGGGTATGAGTGCAGTTGCACAGAAAAACCCACACCACTTTCTTCAGTTGACCTTTAAACAAAAAAGGTACACTTCAGGTGAAAGTCCTTTCTTTCCTCTAAATACTGGCATGTCACACTTAATGCCATCTATTGTCTGATATGCTGTACTAATTGATTAACAACGAGCCAATCCCTTCAGCTTTAAAACCTAGCCAGTAGGTGGTAAGCAAAGGCTTAACATTGAAAGTTCATATTTTCATATGTTAGCGTGAATCTCGTTGGGGTTTTGAATTGGAGATTAGATTTATTGACAACTTACAGTTCCTAACTATAAATAATTGTAACACTATTGTTAATTTCCACACTTTACAAATCACTACAACACACAGTAAGTTTTTTCAGTCTGCTGTGTCTTCAACACTTGTTCCCTGGTAACAGCTTCTGACAGTGTGGATCTTTAATTGCACCAACCAAGTCTTCTCCTCACAGACTCCCTTGCAACTGACTAACTTCTAGACTGTCTCAGTTATAACGTGTCAGCTCGCACTGCATAGAAAACACAATTCATTGCTGTACTCTAATCAAATCAATGGGAACATGTTTTTTTGTGAAGGTATCACACACTAATGGCTTCATATACTTGCTTACTAAGAATCTGTTGCCTAACAGCAAATGTTTCTTCATTTATTTCAAGGTTGTTAGGCAGTAACAGCTGTGTATACCTGCTTACTAGGAATCTCTTGCCTAGCAGCGAATTTTGTTTCATTGATTGTTTCGAGGTTGATGCTCAGTAATGGGACTACATGCTGAAATAATAAGCAACATGTATGTTATAGTTAAAGTTAATATTAACTGATATTAACTGATCTGGTTTAGGGGTAGGTGCCCAGAGAGAGTCACAACATCTTCCCTCACCAGCCAATGTAATCACAGAGCTGAGCAGCTTGCAGACTCAGCCCCATGAAGATGTGACTAGCTTCCTAGGGTTGTGGGGACAAATGGTACTGAAAGACCTGGCCTCTACAGTGAACTCAGGTAGCATAACATGATACAGTGGTCTGTTCACTATGTTTATAGGAGTAGAAACATCTCTTTAGAATTTGGTAGATGCTCAAGTTCAGTAGAAAAGCCCTGACAGAATGATGAATGCAAACACTAAAGGAACTTAGTAAACTGCACATTTTGGCATGCCCTCCTATGTGTAGCATTGGTAGGGATAACAATAATGCCATCTTAAGGTACAGCAAATAGCTATGTTAAAAACAGAAGAGTGCTCTAACATGAAGGAGTTGGTGTCCAGCCCCCAATCTTCATCCTTTTCTTGCTCTGGAATGCACAATAGACATGAATATACTTTTCTGGCTATACTTTTCTTCAGCCTGCTAGGTACCAGTAAACTGCAGTTCAGTGTAAGAATACAAAATAGTTCAAAATCTTATCAAATGATAAAAACAATATTATGGTACACACAGATTCAAAATCAATATAAAGTAGAGATCTATAAAATATATTTTAAGCTGACACCAACATTCTGAAATATGGACATGTACAATAAAAAACAAACAAAATTCAGAAATGGATATGAATTTTTTTAGAAGTATGCAGGGAAAACAATGAGATATAGAACAAGAAATTAAATTTTTAGAGAATGTGGAACTTAAATTATAAATAACATTAGAAGAGAAATAATCAGAGTGGTTTGGCCATGAAGAAGAAATGGATTAATAAGGATACTAAAAAGGGCATTAGAATTAATGTGAAAGGAAAGAGAATAAGGTAGGAGAGAAGATTTGGGTGACTTTGTAACTGTTGACCCATATAAAACAGAGATGATGGTAGAAAGAAAAGATGATTTATGTTTGTTGTTAGTGCTTCCCCTCATGTGAGATGAATGTCATGGCTTACGTAACATGAACATTCAAAAGATTTATTTTAATGTTAACATGTAATGTAAATTCAAAGAAAACCCACTATGAAAATTACTGCCTTCTGGGATGTGACGCCATACAGTCTGACAAATATTTACCAATGTTTTAGATTAATCTGCTCCCTTTATCTTCAGGTGCAAGAAGAGTCTGGAAGTGTCGCATCCCAGAAGAATGTAATCTTCATAATGACTGCCATGAGAATTTGAAATCTTAGAATGCCGAAAGTCAGAACATAAGACTGACAAAGTCTTTGTGTCTGTGCAGGTTCTGTGAACTGCTGCAGGTACCAGCATGCTGAGTGCACTTCTGTCAGAAGTGCCAACACCTGCCACAGCTATATGCGTTCTGTCCCTGCACTGTCACAGGAATGCCAGTTTGGTAAGCAACCCTTTTTTTGCTGTGGCCTATATTATCTAAGATTCATTATATCACTGGATAGAACTGATATAAGCAGAGTCAAAAAATCAGTAGGATTCTCTGCTATGTGTCTCATGCCAATAATGGAAGTTCAGCAGGATGGGTAGCAGTTATTTATTTTATTTTTGTCAGTATTGGACAGAGGGGGTATGCTGTAGTGTGGTTGGTTGAGTCACTATGCTATAAACCGTGAGGTCACAGGTTTTGAGTGCCGATGAGGTGGATTTTTAAATTGACCCAATCCTTCCAGCTGCACTATGGCCCTGGGGTCGACTCAGCCTCTATCAGAAATGAGTACCAGGAATCTTCCTGGGGGGGCAAAGGGAGGCCAATGCATAAGGCTGACAGCCTTACAGCCATCTGTGAGCCGATTGTTTAGAAGATGTGAGAACCTCAACCTCTCGTAACCCTATGGGCCTCAGCGGCCTGTTACAGGGATAATTTTACCTTTACCTTTTTAGTATCGAACAGTGGGATGGTAGTGAATGATGAACTAGAAAGAATGTGGAAGGAAGCATATCTTTGAGTAATTTGAGATCTTCTTTTATTGCTAGTGTGGTGGGACTAAGTCCCTTGTACTGCGGCCACTTCTGGCCTATTGTACCAGCCCCAGATGATACGTGAGGGTGTTTGTGGAGCAGTCGGTGGAATGAAGATTGGCGGTGGGAAACTGAAGTACTCGGAGAAAACCTGCCCCAGCGCCACTTCGTCCACCACAAATCCCATTTGACCAGACCCGGGATCGAACCCGGGCCACCACGGTGGGAAGCTAGCGACTAACTGCTTGAGCTATGGCGCGGCCTTTGAGATACTATCCCAGTATTTGCCAGGGGGGACTGGGCAGAACTACAGAAACCTCAGTCAGGATGCTAGGTCTCCATTTTGAGATTTGAGCATAGGATGCCTGAAATATGGAACAAAGACAGTGGCTTCTGAGTATGGATGCAGTATAGTGCTAGAAGGATGTGCCTTCTACTTGGTTTGATAACGTTAGAATAATGTAACAGTTAGGTTTTTTGGGGACAGTCATGAAATTTAAGTAAGATCTAAAAGTATGTGATGATGGTATATTAACACAAATATTATATTTCTGGACATTATCCGTCATCCTGTTCTTATTGAAAAACATAACATTTTGGAGACTGGATTCTGTTTCCATCTTCAGGTAAAACCTACTCAGTTAGGTCCAAACAATAGAGCTAGTCCGTATCTCTAGAGATGGACACAGAATCCAGTCTACAAAATGCTTTGTTTTTAAATAGAAATATGATGGCTTTTTAAATAAAACAGGATGAGGGATAATGTCCAGAAACAAAATATTTATATGAATCTTAAGGTTTCATTGGATGTCATGATGTAGGGTGTAGATGAGATTATTTGGACGTAAGAGGAAGCTAGAGAAGATTGTGTAATGAGGAGCTTTGTGATTTGAACATTGCTTTCTGATGGATTATTTCATGGCATGTCAGTATCTGGAAAATATGATGGTAAGTCAATAAGTAAGTTACAAATGGATATAGAACTTATACAAATAAGAGTACTGATTTGAAAAATGCTTTTATTTCTCAACATAATCTCCCTGTACACTGAGGCACTTGTCCCATTGTTTCACAAGCCGCTGAAAACCAGCGGCATAAAATTCTTTGGGCTGCTGTTGGAACCAGGCGGTGACTTCCCTATCTACAGCTTCGTCATTGGGAAAATATTCAGCCGAAAGATGATGTTTAAGAGGACCGAACAAATGGAAGTCGCTTGGAGCAAGGTCGGGGCTATACAGAGCATAGTTACTATAGGATTCTGACGATGGTGTATAACACACTGATATATTGGGTTTTCGGACTTTATCCATCATCCTGGTTTTTAAGATAACTAATAAAAACACGGCGTTTCAGAAACTGGATCTGTTTCCGTCAGGTGAAGGAAAACACCTATTCTGTTGGGTCCATTAGAAACAGCTAGCCTCAATCACTCAATCCAGTGATTGAGGCTAGCTCTTTCTAACGGACCCAACAGAATAGGTGTTTTCCTTCACCTGAGGACAGAAACAGATCCAGTTTCCGAAACGTCGTGTTTTTATTAGTTATCTTAAAAACCAGGACAGTGGATAAAGTCTGAAAACCCAATATATCAGTGTACTATACAGAGGATGCTCGAGGACTTCGAACTTGAAATTTCACAGCGTCTGATTTGTCTTGTTTTCAGTATGGGGATGCAACTTGCTGACCCCACAGAACAAAGAAGGGGAAAAATGGGTCTGGCATTATAGCATCTCAATCGCTACCATGATGAAGAATACAATATGCTAGCCCAAATTGTCACAGGTGATGATGAGTCTTGGATTCACCAAGCAGCCCAAAGAATTTTATGCTGCTGGTTTACAGGGGCTTGTGAACTATGGGACAAGTGCCTCAATGTACAGGGCGCTTATGTTGAGAAATAAAAGAATTTTTGAAACCAGTACTCTTATTTGTTTAAGTTCTATATCCATTTGTAACTTACTTATTGACTTACCCTCGTATATTGCTGGATGATAAAGGCTGATGAATTGGAAAAGATTTGGAAGGAAGTGGTCATTGCCTAAATGAGGTATTATCTCACCACTTGCCTGGAGGTACTGAGGAAAACCATGAAAAGTCTTGCTCAGGATATCTGTTATCCAGGACAAGACTCAAACCGAGCATTTCCTACTCTTTATTAAATAGTATTAGGATAATGATATCAAAGACCATGAGATGGGTGTGACATGTGGCCCACATTGGAGGGAAAAGATATGCGTACAAATTTTGGAGGAAAATATGAAAGAAAGAGACATTTTGAAAACCTAAGCATAGATGGGAGAATAATATAAATTGTGTCTTTATGGTATAAGATGGGAGGGTGTAGACTGGATTATTGTGACTCAGGCTAGGGACCAGTGGTGGACTGTTTTGAATACAGTAATAAACCTGTCGATTCTATACAAGGTGGGAGAATTTCTTGAGTAGCTGAGCAACTGTTAGCTTTTCAAGAAGGACTCTGCTGTATGGTGTTAGTGGTTACCATTCCTGCTTTGTAATTAGGAGGCCATTGGTTTGATTGTGCAGAGGCTGGCTGTCTGGTCTGAGGTTTTTCATTGTTTTCATCAGTCCAACTTGGAAAATGCAGGACTAATGCTTTCCAATAAGCCAGTATTCAATTTTTCAGAACATCGGGAGCAGATGAATGTGGCAACAGCATTTCTTGATGCATCTGATATCTACGGGAGTACACAAGTCAGTATGGAGTTATTACGCACGCTGGACAGAGGGCAAGTCACACTAGATGCATGCACAGTGTAAGTATTGAAATGTAGGATCTATTGCAACACAAAATTTTGTTTTAATCTCATAAAGTGCAATGGTTACTATATGCACCACCTCCTTTAATATTATATGATCCTGTATTAACCACATTCAATGTATCTGTATTCGTACACAGTGTTTCCAGGTTCTGTTAGGACTGTGTTCATTAAAAATACAAGACTTGAATTATTTTCAAAATTTCACTCTTTTTATTTAAAATAATCTCCTACTGAATCAATACATAGCTGGAATCGATTGAAAAGTTTTTGAAAACAGTCACTGTACTCCTTGTGTGGAATCACATTTAAAACTGCGGTACATTCCCTTTGGATGTCCTGGATGGTGTCGTGAAGGTCCCCTTTCATTGCCAACTTAACTTTTGGGAACAACCAGAAATCTGCTGGAGCCAAATCTGGTGAATACGGAGGATGATCAAGGAATGTGATCCCTTTTCTGGCCAAAAAATCGCGCACGATCTTTGATTTGTGGGGTGCGACCAGGAACCTTGCTCTCAATATTCAGGTCAAAATCGAAGAATTGAGGACTACGAGATAATAATCAGAATTCACTGTTTGATCTTCTGGCAGAAATTCCTTATGAATGATTCCTTTGGAATTGAAGAAAACTGTTAGCAGCGTCTTTACTTGACTCTTTTGCATGTGCACTTTCTCCGGCTGTTTTGCCTAACTTCAAACAAAATTTTATGTTGGCTCTCTGTTCAACTGCCATTTTTCGACGTGCGTCAGAACAGTACTGTTACATTCAAGGTCAGAACACATGATGCAGCAATGCTTGCGCTTTGAAATTATAGACAGCCACAGCTGAAACTTCAAGAATCTTAATGCCACAACTCACCAACAGATGGCATTGTAGGGAAAAAAAAAAAACGAGTCTTAACAGATCCTGAACACACCGTGTATATTTTGTATGCTTCTCATATTTAACAGTGAACATTAGATATTATTTACAAAGCAAAGAAGATATGTGTCTGTTAGTTCATTAGCATCTGCACATAAATGACTTGGACAAGTATTTCTAATATTTTAAAGTGGAGATTTTCACTAAAAGTTGTCAAGCAATCTAGAGTTTAAGCCACATCAATCCAAAATAAAGTCTACTTTACTTAAGAACACAAGTGGATAAACCAACTGAAGCTGAGTTTAATAAACCATAAAGAATGTTATTGAAATCTTTGTTTGGGACATAATTGGAGGTCACCATTTCCAGGCTGTTTCCATAAACAACATTCATGTATTTGTCTTTGTTTTCTCGGAAGTAAAAATGTAATTGTTATATAAATATGACCCTTGTCATATGCAGGAGCTGCGTTCCTGAAAATCACCAGTCTGTGTTGAAAATGTATAAAATGGAAAACTTTTGAATGAACACTGAATGCGTTGGAGGAGCAGGAAATAATATGGCTGAGTCAAAGCGGTGCAGCAATTCAGGGGAGCTTCATGCACAGCCCACTGAGCATGCTCAATAGCTTCTACTGTAGCCACAGATAAAACATTGTTGCTCTGCGTGACATTGAAGAAACCACGAATATGTGAGAACATGGATATTGAGAGCATATATCGCAAGAGTCACGTGTGATGTTTAGGTGATCTTCAGGCTTCAAAGGGTTGGACGTAATGGAGACACATTCACATAAATATTTTTTTCTCAAATGCTGAGTGGAAATGTGAGCCATCTTGCTGAGCTCAATCTATGGTCCCAATGATTCACTTATAACGGTTTGTTACATTGGCTGAGACATACAAATATTATAGTGGAATTATTTGATAGTAATTATTTACTCTTTTTCATTCCTGCATAATTATGTTCATTAGTCAGCTACACCATGGACTGCATAGTGAGGGAATAAGAATTCGATTTCCAGCAGGGGTAAGAGATTTTTCTCTTTACAACAGCATCCAGACTGGCTCTGGGTGCCTTTCAGCTTTCTCTCTAATGGATACCAGGTGTCCTTTCCCCAGTGATAAAGCAGCCAGGGAGCCAAGTTGAACACTCAGTTCCATAGTGCTGAGGCTAATGCATGGATCTGTACCTCCATTCCCCTCTCTGTCCTCATGGCTTGATGCTTAATTAAGCAAAGGAACAACTTTGTCATTCCATCAAATTCTCCATAAGCATTATCATCAGTACAGGTACAATAGGACATATGGAAGCTGACGTGCCGAGGGAACCTAATATGGATTCCACCTCACACTATATGAAATCTTAACTATTGTAATCTACTGTAACCTATTGTAAACAATTTTAAGTACTGTAACTTTATTCTCTTGTAATCAAACAATATACAGTAACTGACTTGTCCTATATAATGTAACAATGATCTATAGAGACGAAATAAATAAATAAGTATCTTATTTGATGAGTTGTGGGTTACGTAATGCTGTCAGTAACTCAGAATGCATCACATCAGTTGGAAGGGTGACTGATAAAAAACAAATTGGATAGGATTTGAAAGGAAGCAGTCATGGTGTCATTGGGATATTAAGGTAGCATTTGCCTGGATGAAGTGAGGAAACCACAAAAGACCTGAGGCAGGATAGCTGAGTCCCAGTTGAGACCAAAACTGAGCACCTCCTGCATACAAACCCAGATTATTACCTCTGGATCAGTTTATTTGATCTTTCATGTAACTTTTGTGAACTTATGTAGGTGTCATGAGGCGTCCGGTCTCGGAGCTCTGTATTCTACGTTGCTGAGGGAACACAATCGGGTGGCAACAGGATTGGCAGCACTGAACCAACATTGGGATGATGAAACTCTTTTCCAAGAAGCACGCCATATCGTCACAGCGCAGATACAGCATATAACATACAATGAATTCCTCCCAACAGTGCTTGGAGAGGTAAGTCATTTCTCTTTTAAGTTGATGTATTTTTAAAGATCTGGTGTTACATATGTTATGAATTATGAGGGACGTAAAATTATTAAAGCAGTAGAGATTTATTTACTTTGGAAGCAAAACAAACTGAGAAGGGAGAATTAATCAAGAGAGCAGCAGAAAAACAGAAAATAGTTCTAAATTTTATTTTATTATATAAAGAATATTATTGAACAGAGAGATCTAAAATAGTGCAAAAAAATGAAGCATATTTGAAACCATTTCTAACATTAGTGCCAAAGTGTGGACCCTTATAAACAGAAAGCAAAGCAAAATACTAAATTATTTTGAAGTATTATATTTCAGCATCCTGTTACACTCACACAATATATATGGACAAATACCGTCTTAAGTGTGTAGTGTGGAGGAGGAAAAAGAAGTAAAAACTACAATAAAATTGTTGCACTTAAGACGGTATTTGTCCATATATATTATTTTGAAGTATTGAAGGGAAGAACAAAATGGAATAAAGTTACAAATGAATTGGAATTGAAAATTTGTTAACACTTAATAAATGATTAGGCCATGGAAGAAGGATGAAAGGAAAAATATACTGAGAAGGGCAATAGAATTAAAGTTAAAAGAAAGAGACCGATAGGATGACCCAGAACAAAATGGTTTATCCCAGTACTGGAATACATCAGGAAATCAATATAAACTGGTTGGAACACTGAAAAGGGAAGAAAGACGATATTGGAGGATTTTATGCATTGACCAGGATAAAATGGAAATGCTGCTAGAAGAAGAAGGAGGAGGAGGAGGAGGAGAAGAAGAAGAAGGAGGGGGAGGAGGGTCCTCCATCTTGTAGTTATCTTGCAGGTCGCTTTCATATGATTAGAACTATGACACCTGTTGTGTATGTGTCTTGCATCTACAGGTCATCACAGAGATGCCAGGACTGAAATTAAAGGACCAAGGTTATTACACGGGGTACTCAAGTTCAAACCAAGCAGGTACATTTAATGCTGTTGCTGTGACAGCACTGCAAGTGTTTCTCTCCATGATTCCACCTGCGCTGGTAAGTACACTGGTGCGTACATATAACTGTATCCATACAGTAGAGTCCTTCTTGAGAAGCTAACCTCTTATCAGCTAGTTAAGAAATTTCTTGTCTTTTTTAGAATTAGGAAGTTCATTGTCATGTTCATAAGAATCCACTACTAGTCCCTGTCCTGAAACAAATCCAATCCACACCCTCACATTGTCTTTTTAAGATCCATTTTACTATTATCCTCCCATTCATGGTCTCCCAGCTAGTTCTTAACTCTCTTACATATGGTGGTGGAAACAGATTCAGTTTCTGAAATGTTGCACTTAGATCAACTTATGATAATGGACAGTGACCAATATAATAGTCACTGTTATCGTTACACAGTTTGTCAAGAATGTTTAGAATCATTGCCAGTCATGTTTCTGACTGTGAGATGTGTGGTTAGTTACAGAGTGGCAGCATGAACACGACCGAGTACTTGCAGATGGTGCAGTTGGCACTAAGTACCCCAGCAAAACAGCCCAGTCTCCATACGCCACCAGCAATCAAAGACGGTACAGACCTTCCACAGTATTTGTTCTGGTATGGTGTAACTCTCCAGTTATCTGTACAGATATTATCAACTCATAAAAGATTATGGTCTTCTCATATGTGTTCAGGAAAAACAAAAGGCTGGTACAGAGTAACCAAGAACTTATAGCTGACATGCAGAAAACCATTTCCATACTTGAAAGTGAAGTCTTTTGAAAGCTGCAACCCAGCCTATAGGCTGTGCAGATCATCCCATGAGTCCCAGCAGTACGATCCAAAAATATTTACCTCATTATATTCTCTTCAGGTGTAGTTGCTGTTGAAATTTGTTTTAGTTCCTAGCTTGTTAGATTAGTTGATCACAGACTACTTCATTCTTTTCTGTAAGCGTGTGTTATTCCAGAGTACCTCATGTAACAGTCTTCTCACAAATTGGAGTAAAACAACACAGGCAAGGACATAACCATCCCTCCACTCTTTGCTGTGGATAGTTCAACGCCCCACCTTCTCTCTTTCAAACCCTGGCACAGGCAGAACTTATTGATCCTGCTGTATTCCTGTAACAAACTCCATGGTGTCACATCATGGAAGATATTAGTCTTAATGATGATAATGCTGCTCTTGGGTCTCTGCACTGGGATGATGAGGGCAATGTCTCTAATATTTGAGAGCTACATGCCGCTTCTATCTTCAGGGGCAAATTGTGTATGGTGGGTGAGAGTTTGTGTAGATAAAGGGTTTTGTACCAACACAGCCACGGGGTCGAGGAAGCTATCAAATGGCTATTTTAAGAATTGTGGAGTACAAAAGACTATCAGCAACTGGTATACCCATGTGGTCACCTATCCAAGTTCCCACCAGGCACAGTTTTGCTTAACTGCTTCTGTCATGAATCAAGCAATGTGAAAATTGGTTGAGAAATCACAGTTGGTCAAGGGTAGGTTCCGGGAATGGGAAGTGAGGAAAGTGAGGAATATTATGACTAGGAGCAGAGATTGGATNGCACTTGCCATTTTTCACAGCCACAGAATGTACCAAAAAAATATCGTTCGCAAGTGATATTCCCAAGTAGCTACCCATCCCAAGAAGCAGTATAACATTATCATTCAGCACTGAGAATCTCAACTCTCCCATACACAAACCACATTTTGGGGCCACCCAGTATATTACTGGAGTAGTAATAATGTTTATACTTAATATCTGTTTCAAGTATCATAAGATGGAAATGTTATGTTACAGGATTGGACAGAGGAACACTGCTTGTTCACATGGGTCGTGATCATGGTCTCGCAGGCTACTTACAGTGGCTGCATTATTGCAACCACAACCTCACACAACCACTCTCTCCCAGTCTGGCAAATTTACTGCATAGAATTTACATGTATGTATACCCTGAATGGAGAAACATTGTAGCTGAGAATGGTTAAGATTTCAAGATAACAGTCAGTGGGTGGAGTGAGTTATAGTATGTGTTATGTCTGTTCCAAAAATATTCGTTTCCTTTGGATTATAGTGAACTCACCAAATAGATCAGTCAGTATAGCCTATAGGACCAAGGCTTGAAGCCCATCAGAGATTTTTTAGCTACCATATCCGGGCCAGTTCTGGTGCCTACACAGTCTCCTGTCCAGTGGGTGCTTGGAACAGTTTCCCTGGTTGAGTCATTGAGGCATGAGGCTGGATGCCCTTCTATTGCTGAAGGTTAGGAATATATGGAGCTCTACTTTAACTCCCCATACATTTTCATGGTGCTTAATTAATCACATGGACAACTTCACCTCTACCTCTGTAGTAAACTCATCCATAACAGAAGACTACAGTCTTCTGGAATATGATGCTCTCTACTCTTTTGCCTCCTTCTTCAGGAAAGGAGTGTAGCTGTGCAGGAGAGAGAACAGACGGTGCTCAAGGCAAGGGAGGACAAGGAAAGGGACTGATGTGAATTAGTGGGAGTGGTGTAAATGAAATGAAGGAAGTAAAGACATAATATTAAATAAAATTAATATAAAAATGTGGCAGGTTCTTTTGAAACACTACCTACTAGACTACATAGTATTTCATTTCATTTCATTTATTTTCTATATATCCATACAGGTAACAAACCTAGGATGTGGAAATGGACCCTTTAAAAAATAGATATATCAAGATACATACACAAAATTACGCAAGTCACATAATCACATCCAAGATGATTGTAATGCTCATAATCAACATAATGAGAACCTCAAATCTGACAGCTATAACAGACTCCAGTTGCGAGGTTTGACAGTGCTTAGCATAAACTGGCTGACCATTATTTTTATTCTTGGCTGAAATATTGCGTTTCCTTAAGTAAAATAGAGTTTAGAATCTCACTGTGAGGAAGGAGCTAATATTTGCTATTGCTTTCCTTTAGTGTAGCATACTCTGTGTTATGGAAGGGATGTGTTATTGAAAATGAATGCATATCAAGGAATTCCTTAAGGAAAACCCTATTTTTCCATGAACTTTCATGTTATACATAGAGATTCATTCCTAAGGAAATGTTTCTGGTCTACAGTTATAACAGAGAAGCATTTTTTATCAATCAGAAGTAACAGTCTATACATAAACATCTTCAACTGATAAGAGGGAGAGTCAGTAAATAGCTCACAAATGAATATAAAATGTAAAACATGGATATTTGAACCTTGAAAAGCCATTTATTTCTCGACTTATCCTCCACCAACATTGATACATTTATCCCATTGGTTTATCAGCGTGTTGAAACCTGCAGCATGGAAGTTTTTTGGCTGTTGTCTCAGCCACTTCCACACTTCCGTGTCAACCTCTTTGTCATCAGCAAAACGTTTACCACCCGTCGTGGACTGCTTTACATGACAAGAACACTTCCCACCATAAACAGAAGACGTTTCTTCACGGATATCTTTTGCACTCAGAAACGCACAATAGAATGCAGCCCTTCGATAATAATCTCCTCAAGGACGGTCACCATTTTTACTACTGAAACCAGTCTCTGAACATGCGCATGCACGTCTCCTACTAGACTGTCATGTAGGTGGCCTGTGGTGCTACCTAGTGATACACATAGAAACCCCCTCCCATTGGTTTTTGAAGGTCAAAAATAGCTTTTTTCCCAAAATTAATAGGTAAGTTTCAAGCTTAATTAGACAGAGGAAGTGAGTTGAGTAAAAACTTGTAATGACATGAATTGTAGTCCATATCATGAGGAACAAATTGGTTTTTTATTGGAGTCTCTAGCTTCAATAGTTATCGAGATATAGAATATAACGAAAACCATTTCGGCCGAAAACACGTATTATTGCATTATAAAAACGGCTGCACTGGGAGAACTGAGCAGATTAAAATTTTTTAAAAAATATTAACAAATTATATTTGTATGCATGTATTCTCCATATTTTTTGATCTGAGTGTTCTCAGCAGAGTTCACTGTGAGTTTTGTCAAGCTCACTATTACAGGAATTACAGAATATGTATGGGCTATATAACAGAGCCATATTTAGAGCGTGGCACCGACCCTCCCTCTCACAATGCACCCAAAACCACTGCCCCAGTACTTCCCATATTTCTCCTTTCATACAGCCAGAGGCAAGGTCCAGAGAGATGTTTATCTTCTTAGGAGTAAACCTTGGGACCTAAATGGAACATGAAGTAAGGTTTTTGTACGTGAAGTATGACAATGTCAGAGCTGTACTTTTTCAGCTTTCTAGAGTCACAACGAAATATACAGTGATATTTCCCACTGAAACTGGAATATAATTCTGTAAACATATGATTTCAGCAATAAGGAGGACATTGATCTGATTGTGGGAGGACTTATGGAGACCCCAGATTATGGTGTGGTACTTGGACCAACATTCACCTGCCTCTTGGCAGAGCAGTTCATCACTGTTCGCAACAGCGACAGGTTCTGGTATGAAAATGACATCCCTCCGTCTTCATTCACACCGGGTAAATGTTATATTATCTTGTGTAGCCTCAGGGTCATAACCTTCTTTACATTTTGCCTTTTAACCCTCTCTCTGTCTGCAAGAATACAGGTTTTTATTTCACAGTGCTACCATTGGTTCGCTCTTAGCCCCAGCCCTTCCTACCTTATATCACTGACATTATTTGCTTCATAACCTATTTTCCTACCCAGAAGCTTGAGGCAGCAAGTTCCTTCAAGATGTTGGTAACAGTGTAACAAACTACATGGAGTCGCATCTCAGAAGACAGTAATATTTTTATTTGTAATCTGCTCACTTATCTTTATGTCAGAATTGATGCTGCACATATTAAACATACAGGGTTTGTCCGAAAAGTAATGTCAGTTATTTTATTGTGAAGTGACTATATGTCGCAGCACTCTCAGACCGGTTGGGATCGGTGGAGGGGGAAGTCAGCTTATGAACCCGTGGTCGCTTAGTCGTCTCCGAACTTCCTGAGAGTGACGAAAGGCTTTTCCATGAAACTCGTTTTTGTCTCCCGTGCAAGCCGCAATGCAGCGCTCCTTGGAACAAAGGATTGCCATCAAGTTTTGTGTGAAACTTGGCAAGTCTGCAGTGGAAACTTTTCCCATGATAAAGACGGCCTTCGGTGATGATTGTTTGTCGGAATGTCAGGTCTACCGGTGGCACAGGGCCTTTTTAGAAGGCCGTGAAGAGGTCGACGATGAAGCCCGCGCTGGACGGCCATCAACAAGCACCACCGACGAAAATGTGAGTTTGTACTACATGGTACAACCATCAACGCCAAATTCTACATGGAAGTGCTAAAGAGACTCAAACGAAGTGTTTGTCTCATCCGGCCCGACATCGCGGACGATTGGAAACTTCACCATGACAATGCGCCAGCCCACACCGCCTTCCTCGTGACCCGCTTCCTGACCAATTCAAAGGTGCCAACGGTTCCCCAGCCGCCCTACAGTCCTGACGTGGCTCCCCAGACTTCTTTTTGTTTCCGCGCTTGAAAACTCTCATGAAAGGACATCATTTTGGGACAGTTGGCGAAGTCAAAGAGGCTTGCACCAAGGCTCTAAAGGACATTCCGGAGGAGGCCTACCATGACGCCTTCGATGCCTAGAAATCTCGCTGGAATCGATGTATCGACGCAGAAGAAGCCTATTTTGAAGCCTTTTAATGTGTTGCACCGATCTAATCCATAAAAGTTTTTTAATCGACTCACTGACATTACTTTTCGGACAAACCATGTAGCATGGAATGCATTTTTATAACCAGGGTTGTAGTCAAGCAGGGCCTCAGTTAGGTGTCCTGGTGGTTTCCTGACTATCAGCCTGGCACTTCTTATAAAGACACTGATGTAAAACAAATTATTTTTACTTCTTTTACTTAAGCACTCTGATGTGTGTTGACACCTGTAAGTATGTGCATTTCGAGATATGTGTTTCATTCGATTCTGCATTTGGAAGTGTAAAGCTGTCTCAGATTTGAGGTTCTCACAACAGTGGCTATGAAGTTTTCTGTCTTCTGGGATATAATACCATAATTTATGGTGAAATGCTGATAGTGTCATGAAATAATATACAAAAAAATTAATTGTCTTTGTAATGGAGACCTGGTGTGTTTTCTGTGATGTAGGAACTGAATTTATAGTCTACTTTCCTTATTTTGAAAATAATGAGGCTTATTTTGTCACCTTGCTGTCTGTATGTCCCCCTGACAACTTTTTTGCATGTGTATTCATTTCAACAGGAACTTGTTTACCGAACTTTTGCCTATCAACGGCTGTTTCTTCTGGCTCCAATATTCCGGCTTTTAGGCGTCATGTCACATGGCATCCAAAAGTTGTTGGACATAATATTTTCTCTTTGGTCCATGTCATATCAAATACCCAGTATGTGGCGAAAGGAAAATGGACAATTAGTTGTTCCCAGAACTTCTTGTTAAATATCATTTAATTCTTCAAAGGGTTTAAATACATTTTGAGAAAAGAGGTCACAGAACCAGCAGACAAATATATATTTTTAAATGTAAACTGGAATGAGAATCATCAGTTAGGGACAGACTTCTCTGTGCATAAGGGAATCATATCACGAGTTAAGGGAGTAGGGTTTGTTAGTGATATGATTTCATATATAATGCTAAGTGGTAGCTGGTAATTGGTATCCATCATGTATTATTATTATTATTATTATAATAATTATATAAAGGAGAATGAGTTGGGCAGGGCATGTATTACTAAAGGGAGAGATGAAAATTGCATACGAAGTTCTGATAGGAAAACCTAATTGAAAGGGACCTCTAAGAATATCTAGGCATGTATGGAAGGTAATATTGAAATGGGTCATAAAGGAATAGGAGCTTAAGGTGCGTACAGGATTCATCTGGCTTAGGATAGGAACCAGTGGCAGGCTTTTGTGAACATGGTAATGAACCTTTGTGTTGCTTAAAATGCTGGGAATGTAATTCATAACTGAACAACTATCATAAATGATATAACCTCCGTCTCAAGTGCAAACAATATATTCTTGTGTCTTTGATCTTGCTCCCTACACTACATGTTTCGGCCTCAGACGGCCATCATCAGGTGTATAACACTCACGTCGCTGTCACACTGCACCCAGTTCAAAATTTAANACTATCAGTTTCTTAAGAAGGACTGCTCCAAGTGGTGGGCACCTGTGAGCTTGATAATGAATGAGAGACTTGAGGTACTGAGAGACTGTGAAGTGGTGTATCATTTGAGGAGTGATACAACGTGGGCTGCTAGATGTTTACCAAGATTTGAGAAGAACACACTGCATCCATCTTCAGGGTTGATGAGTAAGCCTAGCACACAAGATTCAAGCAGCAAGCTGCTGTTTGCTTGATCAGTTTTCTCGTTAATCATGAAGCTGGGGGCAGTACAGTCATCTGAAATGTCAGTAAATTCCATCAGACTATAGAGTATAACATAGCTGAGAAAATATTAGCTTCCATAATACGACTTTACTTCATGGAGTTGGTTATGCAAATGGTGGTCTCTTGTAAATGTTACGTAGAACCTCCAGTGTTATGAAAGGTGAAGTATTGCTCGAGTATGAGTAGTTGGGCAAATATTAGCTTCTCAGGATTTTCCATGCTCCATGGAACTAGTTAGTTCTTAACAAAAGTAAAAAAGGTAAAGCTATCCCTGTAACAGGCTGTGGACTCCCATAGGGTTGTGAGACATTGAGGCTCCTACATATTCTAGACAATTGGCTCACAAATGGTGGTGAAGTTGTCAGCCTTATGTGTTAGCTGCCCTATAACCCCAAGAAGATTCCTGATATTCATTTCTGTTAGAGGCTGAGTCAACCCCAGGGTCAGAATGTAATTGGAAGGATTAGATCAATTGAAAAATCCAATTACCTCATCTGGAATTGAGCCCATGACCTTCCAGCTTGTAGCAAAGTGCCTCAAGGAACTATGCTAGAGCATGCCCCTCTTAGCAAACGTAGCTATGATAATATTGGGTTGCCCCTGACTGAGAAACAGTGATTACTCTGGACTCTGTGCACTTTCTTGTTTTACTGTGTTCAGTAGCTGTGGTTCATTTGCCTGTTACAGAACAACTGGCAGAACTACGCAAGGTGACAGTCGCTGGATTATTGTGCAGCAACGTGCCTAATCTGGAAGAAGTCCAGTCCCAGGCGTTTGTGCAACAGGACTCATATCTGTAAGCCACATTAGCAACAAATGTACAGGATTGCAAAATTTGTTCTTTAATTCATGTGTGTTGACTGTCTCCAGAAAATCCTGAAACCGCGAAACAAAATCCTAAATTGAGTAAATGTTTATGTTACATGCAAAATAAATTATGTGATGAGCACTCTTTTGTGGTGTGTGCTGCTGTGTAGTCCAGTAGAAGCTCACTGACATTTCATAGAAATGCACTGCCTCCATCTTCAGGGTTGAACAGTAAGCCAAGTAAGTAGCCAAAAAGACACAAGTAGCAAGCATATGTATGTTCCTCCAAAACACAGATGAATTCCTACTAGACTAACACGATTGGAAGTCATAATGTTTTAATTCTCACCATGAGAAAATCAAAATTTCAAAATATTGTAACATGTTTGGAGTAGGTACTTCCATGGTAATGCAATAACAGTGGATCATTGTGTGTAGAATGTTGAAACAACGAACGCGTTTCCCTGGAGATGGACAACAGAATGTTTGTTGTGTAACAGCGTACTGTCAAAACAGCAGAAATATAACCATGAGAAATGGTGTCTGGTATCCAGTCCCCATAACGCCTATATAAGAGAGTTGGAAGCAGAGCTCTCTCATTTTCCAAATACTTGGAAGGAAGCAAAAGTAATAACTTTACCTAAACCTGGTAAAGACCTGAAACTCCTGCAAAATTTACATCCGATCAGCCTCCTGTCCATGACAGGAAAACTATTCAAAAAAGTAATTTTGAAATTACCACAAAAACATATTGAAGAAAGAGGCCTGCTCAATGGAAGCCAGTTTGGTTTTCTTGTATGTTACAGCACGACATTGTAATGTACGAGACTGGTGGACCACGTAACCCTTAATTTCAACAATAAAATGTCTATGGCCACGGTGTTCTTGGACATCAAAAAAGCCTTTGATACCACGTGGCACTCAGGCTTGCTGTATAAGTTATCAAAATTGGAATTCTCGAACAGTTTGACCAAGCTTATTGGGTCCTTTCTTTCTCAGCATAAATTCAGGGTTTCAGTTGAAGGCAGAATGTCAACCCCAAAGGAAATGCAATCAGGGGTGCCACAAGGTTCAGTCCTTTCCCCTACTTTTTTTCAATTTGTACATAAATGATGCTCCCCAAACACATGGTGTTCACCTGGCCCTCTTTGCGGATGACACCTGTCTGTATGCGACAGATTGCTAGGAGGGTTTTATTGTTAGAAAACTCCAGCGCGGTCTCAGCTCAATGGAGACCAGGTGTGAGTGCTGAAATATTAAAATTAATGAAGATAATACTCAGGGGGTCTACTTCTCACATAGTCAGTGTGTCTCTGTTTCTTCTGGGTGATAATTAAAATTTTATGACTTCTCCATGTGTGTTGTTACATCTTACTTCTCTTCATAGTCATTGGTGTGTAAACCAGAACTCCAGCAAAGCTATGTAAGGAGTTCTGTCTTCTCAAATATAGTGACATATAGTCTGGTGAAGGTCAACCTAAATTTCAGAAGAACATGACACCATCATTTTCAGTGTGGGGAATAAACCAAGCAAGTAACCAACATGAAGCAGAAAGCAACTAGAGCTTGTTTCTCTGAAACATCGGTTCATTTACGAGTAAAATGGACAACATGGCCTTTTATCCCAGAAGATGCAATTCTTCACAACCAATGCTGTGAGAAACTCTAGTCTAATAAAGCTAAACGAGATTCATGATTCTGGGAGCACTGATGGGAATTGAACCATGATTCCTCAATTATGCAGTCCATAGCCGAGACAGTGTACTGAGCGATCCTGGCTCTCACAAGTGTAGTTACATTACATAATATTGAGGAAAATTGGAAATGAAGCAACATTTATCAAATTATTTCCCCAGTTTAGTGCCTTCTTGAATGTAATTGGTCCTCATTGTATGTTAATTTGTATATTTTGTTATGTTCCCTCACTGTCCCTTGACTTTGCAGCAATGTTCGGATTGCCTGCGCACTGCAGCCAACCTTCAGTTTGTCCCCATGGCTGGAGAAGGACACACCAATGAAAATATCTAATGAGATGTTGAGTCAAGCAGTGGAGAAGGCTGAAGCTGATGTTAAGTTACGGAAACAACGAGAATACCAACTGTGGGCCAAAAGTAAGTAGGATTGTTATGAACATTACCTGTATATTGTTGGAAATATTAGGCAGATTATCTTAGTAGTATAATGTTTGGTTTGTATTTTGAACGCATACAGTTTGAAAGTGGAGCCGGGTTAATATAGTCAATATAGCAAATATAGCAACTGATTATTGGCTGGATGGCCAAGGGGTCAGAAATTGATTCCCGGTAGGGTCAAGAATTTTCTCATCTCCACGTCATCCAGACCAGCTCTGGGGCCCACCTGGCCTCTTATCCAATAGGTACCTGGGGCTCTTTCCCTCGATAATGTGGCTGGAGCATGAGGCTGACCACTCACCTCTAACTAGTGCCAAGGTCAAGGAAATGTGGATGTGTACATCCATTCTCACATATGCCTTAATGGCGTAGTACTTTATTACTTAAGCACAGGCACAACTTTATATTTTTACCTTACCGTAAAGTTTGGAAGTTTGTTCAGAAAGATATATATTCTCTGGCTTTTACATAGTTTTCCTAAGTGCTTCCAGGATGATGCAGGGCTTGTATGAATGGAACAGATGACACTGTTTTCCTCCCCAGCATTTCTAATTCACAAAACCAATGGAATACCCACTGAAAATGCAACAGGAAAATTTGACAGTTTCCAACCCTAACTATGATTTCCATAGATAACCCTCTCACAGTGTAACTGTTATACATTATAGCCCTTGAGGGACACTGAAATCATGATTTCATTGAATATGTTATGACCATAGCAGCTATCTGGCATTCATATATAATTCCCATATAACGATTTTGTAAGATCACAAGTTGTTAGTCATAATTATCAGTTTATTCACTTCTACTACAAGATAGGCACGCTATGAACTTGAGCTGTCATATAGTCCATTCATAATTGAAGTGCTGATCCTAGTTAGCTCGGTGTATTGGAATACCCCATGAAATTTCAAGCTGATAATTTGACATTTCCCGTCTCCAGCTATAGTTTCCACAGATGACACTTCAATTGATTCAGTCTTACACGTTATAGCCCTTGAGGGATATTTTATCATGATTCCACTCAATATGTATGATTTAGACTTGAGAAAAGTTCTAGAAAGACAAGACTGATAGATTGAGCATAATAATAATAACAGTCTACAGAAACTTTCCTTTTTTTTTGACAAAGGTCACCACTGTAATATCAACTCACAGCTCTGCAATACTGCTTCAAACACTGCTCTTTACTACTGCCATCATTTTCTGTTGTAACTGACTGATAATAAATTTTGCATTTGGTTTCCATGGAAATGACAATCCAATAAACACTGCCCTGCTTTCACTAATTATGTATACATATATTCATGAGTAAAATCACAACTGAGCAAGCTAGTATAGCTGTACTATTAGCCAGAATACTAGCTATCATAACAGAGTGTCTGCGGATTTCATACATATCTGCGTGAACAGTGGGATAGTATTTTAGTTTTTCTTCTAGGAATAATTCTCTTTTACCTGAGTTGCTGAGTTGATTAATGAAAATTTTATGATCTGTTGTTTCTTCCCAGAATTCATTTTATTTATAATCCTCTGTTTCATCTCCCCTTCACCTCCTTTGCCCATGCTGTGCGAGGAGATAACAGTAGGCAAGGGGCTCCTTGTTGGAATGGCAAACAGAATCATCATACAAGCTGAGAAGATGCTTCTCAGCTGGGGTTCTGACGAACTTTTGATTTTCGTGGTGACCCGTAATGACGCCATTTGTTCGATTGACATTTCATTTGTGGCTCGTATGATTTGGCTCATGTCTCATCCAGCATAATGATACTCGTATGGTGTAAGAAAGCCTCTCCTTCGCGCTCATAGCGCTCCTAGTGGTTACGAGCAGCGTCATATCATAGCCACATCTGCATTTCCGTCAAATCATGCGGAACCCATCATGATGCAGTTTTTGTCATGCCCAGGCATTCCTTCAGAATGTGAAGCACAGTCGTATATGCTAATCCTGTCTCTCGAGCCAGCTCATGAAGCATATGACATCGATCACTCTCCAGTAACATGGAAAGAGCATACACTTCTTCTTCACTGACACTGGGACGACCTGGCCGGCGCATGTCTGCCACATTTTGGCATCCCTAGTTGAAGGCTTTTACCCACCTTGCCACTGTTCTGTAAGGCAATGCAGATTCCCCGCAAGCCTTTTTGAAGACCTTGATGACACTGTCGTGCTGTACAGCCACTGGCACATTCAATCTTTATCCAACTCAGTTTTTCCTGTTTTGAAAACATCGTGACAACACTACATTAGACCGCCAGCTAACATGAGGCTCTCTCCTTCTCGTCACTGCGCATTCGCGTGATGTGGGAAGGGAGAGTCCATTTGCTCTGAGGTAAGGTAGGTATGTAACTAACATGTGGTATAAGTGACATAATTTGGTTCTATTGCATGGCGTTTCTACAGCAGTGTTGCCACTATTGAAGTTCCAACCCTCATATATAGTGGCTGTTAAAAAACGTAAAGTTGTTCCTGTGCTCAACAAATTAAGCCCTATGCCATGAAGGCTTATATGGGAGTGGATGTATAGATCCACATTTTCTTGACATCAGCACTAGCTGGAAGTGAGTGGTCAGCTTCACCCACCGGCCGCTTTACCCATGGGGAAAGAACCCCCAGTACCCATTGGATAGGAAGTTGGGTGTACCCCACAGCCTGTCTGGACAATTTGGAGAAGAGAAAATTCTTGACCCTACTGGGACTTAAACTTCAACCCCTTAGTCGTCCAGCCCATAGCCAGTTGCTATACCGACTATGCTCTATTTAGTGGCTGTTAGTATTCACTAAACCCATGCTGTATGTTTCATGCATTTGTTCACAGATGGAGGTGTTGATCCAAAGTCACCCATTGGAACTGCCGCTGCATTCAGCAAGGCAAACAAGCAAGCACTCATGCTTGCCAATACATCCATACTACTCGAGTACACCTCGCAAGAGCTTATGAACTCTCTTAATATGTAAGCTGATAACTGGTGTCTGTTGGACTCACCAAAGAAACCTCATTCCATTGCAACCCTTTAGCAAGTTGCATCTGTGATGTGCACACCTTAACCAATTTCAGTGTGAGGCATCAGTGTGGACACCTACTGGGGGGGGAGTAAGCAAAGCATCTGCCATTCCGCCTGAATTTTTCAAAAATTAAAACGTAGAAATACAAGTAATAAAAATAATAACAACCAAAAATTCCAGTTATTTGAAAGAAAGTATTCTTTTGTCATGAATACTCTAAAATGATCAGTAAACATTTTCTGAAATGTCAGTAACATAATTTACAAACAAATATTCTGGCATCCCTCTTTGGAAAAAGCTTATGGGCAGCATAATTTTCTGAAATGGCAGTAACATAATTTACAAACAAATATTCTGGCATGCTGCTTTGGAAAAAGCCTTAGCAATAACTATGGGCAGCATAATTGTACATATTGACTGATAATTGTAGTCTGTAGACTGTAGATAATAGTATAAATGTCTTGCCACTTGATATCTTCCTATGTTGTTAAATTTTCATTTCCTCTGAGTAAACATACCAGTGTGTTTTTGCCTTAGCTTAGGTTGTTTATCCGAAAAATCCATCCAAGTCAAGGCCCTATGTGACATTTTGTAACAAAATTAATTTTTATGGCTAAGAGTTGTAAGCCCCATGCCCTAACCCAAAGCTGGGGTATGACCCGCTGTTGCCTCTCTACAATTGCTTATTCAGTATATTTGCAGCTACCCTTCATATCTGGAGGCCGTCTTTTCTGTGGTGGTATGGACTAGGCTGATCTGGCTCAGGATAGGGAGCAGTGGAGGGCTCTTGCGAACACAGTAATGAACCTTCAGGTTCCATAAAAATGTTGGGAAATTCTTGAATAGCTGTGCGATTGACAGCGTAAGATCTAAAAGTTTGTGACAATGGTATATTGCTTCAAGTATTATGTTTTTGGACATTATCCATTGTCTTTTCTGTTTTCTAAAAACCGTCCTGTTTCTTTTTGAAAACACGTTTCGGAGACTGGATTCCATCCCCATCCTCAGGGACCACCTACTCAGTGGGGTCCAATAGATAGAGCTAGCCCCTATCTCTGGACAGCTATGCCAGTTTCAAGAAGGGGTACATAAATCATAAACTATCTCTTGCAGATGGTTTGTGATGTGTTTGGTTTATGACCCCTTTCTTGAAACTGGCATAGGTGTCTGGAGATAGAGGCTAGCTCTATCTATTGGACCCAACTGAGTAGGTGTTCCCTGAGGACATAGACAGAATCGAGTCTCCGAAACATGTTTTAAAAAAGAAACAGGATGGTTTTTAGAAAATAGACAAGACGATGGATAATGTCCAGTAGCATAATAGCTGTGCAACTGACAGCTTCTCAAGAAGGGCTCAGTTCCATGAAGTTAGATGGTTAGTTTTTTAAGAGGGGCCTGCTGCCTCAGTGTTCAGGGTACTCATACAACAGTCAACTATGAAAATAGTGACAGCATATTCCTCCAAATTTTTGACACATATCTAGCAACCTACACAGTGTTACATCCCAGAAGACTAATCTTCATGCAAATAATGTTTAAAAATGTTTTTACCTCAAAGAAAACAAATTGACTCTCTGTTATGAAGTTACTATAAGACAGAAATAAAATGCTGCATGTCCATTCCACCCACTGTAATGTGAACTTTGAAGTTGACCCTATGACATAAGATAAAGGCATAAAGTGGGCATGGCAGAGAAGTTTTGTACATTTTGATTGGAGCATGAAATGGAATGAAAGATTAGTTACATTTTTTGTCTACCATACTTCTTAGAATGAAAGAACTAAACAGGAGTTATAGGCAATGTGTCACTTTACTGACTGACCTATCCCAGCTTACTGTAATTAAATTTCTTATTTAGTTTTACTGTATTATGAATACACAATCCTGTTGCTCACTTTTGTATTACACATATGATGCTGCATACCCACCCCTTTGTGCATTAAATATTTGTCAACCAATGAAACATTGTAGACATACGAGGGGGGACCCAAAAATAACCAGAAACGACCTGTTGCGCGCGCATGCTTTGTAGTTATGAGTTGTGCTGCTAGGTGGTGTTAGCTGGGGGTCTCCCGCGACTGTTAGTGAGCTGGCGTCAGTCTGAGTTAAGTGGTTTGTCTGTGGTGCTCTGTTGTGTGAGTTCCTGTTTCAATCGTTTGGCGATTAGCGAGATGGCCGACCAGAAGGAACAAAGAGTGTGCGTGAAATTTTGCTTTCTGTTAGGGAAAACTGCAGCCGAGACTGTTGGGATGCTTCGGCAAGCCTTTAATGATGATGCTTTGGGGAAATCACAGGTCTACGAGTGGTTTTCCCGTTTCAAATCTGGCAACATGTCAACAGAAGACATGCCACGCCCCGGGCGTCCTTCGACAGGAAGAAATGACGAAAACATTGCCAAAATCAAACGTGCAATTGATGAAGATCGTCGAAAGACCATTGACCAACTTTCTGAGGAAACGAACATCTCATGGAGCACGGTCCAGCAAATTTTAACCGAAGGTTTGCACATGAGACGGGTGTCTGCAAAATTTGTTCCTCGCTTGCTCGGAGATGACCAAAGAGAAAACCGCGTGAATGTTTGCCGCGACTTGAAGAGTGAAGTGCAGTTTTCCCTAACAGAAAGCAAAATTTCACGCACACTCTTTGTTCCTTCTGGTCGGCCATCTCACTAATCGCCAAAGGGTTGAAACAGGAACGCACACAACAGAGCACCACAGACAAACCACTTAACTCAGACTGACGCCAGCTCACTAACAGTCGCGAGAGACCCCCAGCTAACACCACCTAGCAGCACAACTCGTAACTACAAAGCATGCGCGCGCAACAGGTCGTTTCCGGTTATTTTTGGGTCCCCCTTCATACATTGCTTATGAATGTCCATTAAATTGATGTCTAGCAATGAAATGACAGTGGATATAAGTCACTTTTAAAATTTAAAGCTGGTTATGGTTAAATACTGATCAGACCAGAGAAAGGGAAGCAGAGAACACTAGATGAAAGGATTTCAATACAATTGTGTGCTGTTGTAGGGTCAGAGATCAGAGAGCAAAAAGACAAGCATTTGATACAGGCAGAGATAATATTCTCAACTTCCCAATCGATTCCCTGAATGATGACTTCAATGACGGCCTACAGAATGTGGACATCACTTCTTTCATACCAGCTCCACTCACTTCGCCTGACTGTGATTCTCCTGATGACAAGGGACCTTGTGATGCGCAATCACAGTTCCGAACTATCACAGGCCGATGCAATAACTTGAGGAAGCCGAATTTGGGGAAGTCTATCTCCACTTTTTCTCGACTCCTACCACCAGCATATGAAGACAGTAAGTCATAGCAAATTATATCCAGCAATATTAGAGTCAATTTTACCGACCACACAACATATTTTTATTATTATTACACTAAATGTTTCGACCTCAAGAGGTCATCCTCAGGTGTACGAACACAGCTGTATAATTACACGCAATCACATTCGTCTTTTCACTTATTCGATCCTGTATCTTATTCAGGCCCACGCTCAATAATATATCAAGCTCCTCTCACAAAACACAAGTTAATATCCAGAAGGTCAGCTTGAGCAGTAATGCTTCTGTCGTGTATTGAAGTCTTGGCCAGAATACTGTCTGCTCTAAGGTATTTCTCAGTCTGTTCAGGCAGATACCAGGGCATAACCTTAAATTAGGCCGCGACAACTTTCTCCAAGATCCTTTCCGATTCACATTTTATTAATCATTGTACCGTTTAACGCTATATAATCTAGATGTTAATAGCATAATTAGAAGGGTACGCTATAGTCTGGAGTAAATGCGAATATTGCTGATTTCTGGAATGTGACACCTCATAGTCTGGCAGTTTGTTACCGATGTTTCAGAGGAAACTGTTGCTTCCATTTTTAAAGTAGAAGAGTAATATTATACAGTAACATCCTGTTGCACTGTGTATTCTAAATTCATGTTCTTGTTTGTTGCAATCTCAATGCAACTTCTTTGGTATCTTGTTATACAACACCACATGTTTCATCCTAACTGACCATCATCAGGTGTATAAGATGCTGGATTGAAGGAACCTGCTGGTATGTTATTGTGCTGTTCTGCTTTTCAGCACATTAAGAAATAACACAGATACACGCATAACAATTATATGATAATCTAATATAACCTAAAATATTTTAGAAGCATTTTATATCAAAATGGAAAGCAGAACAGCGTGAGAACAGAGCAGCAGATTCCTTCAATCCAGCATCTTATACACCTGATGATGCCCAGTTAGGCTGAAACATGTCATGTTGTATAATAAAGAAATTAAAACATGTGAATATTAATATATTGATGAGGTTGCACAAGGAAAGCAAAGAACAAGTACACAAAGTTAGAAGAGTATTCAGTTATTCAGTATAGAGGGGGTGGGTTTCCCCATGCACTGCGACTAATAGTCCGTTGTACGTCCCCCTTTAATTTCTACTGTCGCCATACCCTACCGATACTGGTGCCCGCTATCTCCCCTTTCTGCCAGCGAGGCCGGCCCTCTACTGGCAGTGGTACCTGATACTGTCCCCTTTCTGCCAACGAGGTCGGCCCTCTACTGGCATTGGTACCCGATAACTTCCCCATCTACCGGAGGCAATGGAAACTACTTGGGTGGGAAACATTTTGCCTGATTTTGCTCAGAGGTCTCCTAGAGACATGAGGATCTTTTACGTGCCGTAAATCTACGACACGGGACCCATGGCTTAAAGTCCCTCCCAGAGGGCTTGTTCCCTGAATTTTTCCGCCCTTAAAAATTCCACGACCTCCGCCAGGTTTGAACCCGCATACCTTGAGTCATGAGGTGGGAACGTTACCCCTAGACTACGGAGGCCGCTAAGTTAGAAGAGTAAGTCAATTATGGAAAAAGTTAGTGGATAGAGAGGGAGGAATGAGGCTGTGAATGAACATACAAGTAAGAACACTGTAAACAGGAATGTTTCAAGGGCAAAGTGACTTGAAAAATAAAGGTTCTGAGTGAATTGATAGGAGTTACAGGGAAGTCAGGAAACACAGCAGTGCTTTAGAAGGCCTGTCTTCAAGGCAGATCCATACTGGTCCACACAGATTCATTATTTTTCACAACCATGTCATTTTGAAGCTCAGATTGAAATATTATATTTCAGCATCCTGTTACACTCACACAATATATATGGANCAGATTGAAATTTAGCACTTTCAGATTACCAGGAACTCCTATTTTCTTTTTCAAAGTAGAGAAAATGTGTCTGTTTTGTTTTACAGTGTAAATTAACATCATAAATATTGAGCACTAGCTGATTTGTTCTGTTGGCCTTTAAACTCCCTTTATTTGCTTTGACTTTATAAATGTCATATTCTAAATAAATGACAATAATCTCTGGTAACTACTTTCCATTCACTGTGTTCTACATATGAACCGTTAAAACTTATACTTTCAGATGTGAATCGACCACGTTTGAACTCTGTGACTGGAAGTCCCTTGCCATCTCCAAGGCTGGTGTCTACGATGATCCATGCGGATATCAGCAACCTTCACAACAGATACAGTCTCATGCTGATGCAGTATGCACAGTTTCTTGACCATGACATTACTTTTACACCCGTGCAAATAGGTAACGTGAGTGTTTCAAGTTGAACTAGGATGCAGGAAGTAAAAGTGACAGTTGATAAGTAAAATGCAGGCATGTGCAAGTCTTGAATTTTTGGTATTCAATCAATAAAAAAAATTGATCTAAACATTGATTGCTTTGCCTAATAGCAGGCAAACTTCTTGAGCCATCTGTATTATAATGGTTAGTAGCACTTGTCTGAATCAACTTATCAAGAAAATCTGGCTCACTGCAGTGGCCCAAGTTTAATCCCAGGTCAGGCCATGTGGGATTTGTAGCAGACAAATTGGCATGGAGGAAGGTTTCTTTCAAATACTTTAGTTTCCCCTGCCCATTTTTATTCCACTTGCTGTTTCACGTTCATTCATTATTCTATTATCTGATGCTGTACATTGACAGCATCGTTAGAAAACGAACTTAAAGGAATATAACCTCTCTCTCTCCCCCCCTCCCCTTTCAGTATTTCTGCCCATGATGAAAAAGAACATAGCCCTAGAACTTATTTTTTTAAAAATATTGTAGTAATTTATGAAAATCTTTTACAGGTGAACAAAATAAAAAGGGATAAGTAATACACTTTATTACAGTGTGAAAAAGTTGGTTAGTTTTATAAATTGTGATTACCATAAGAAACTTTGTGTAGTAGAGAAAAATCGATGATTTGCAAGTAAAGAAGTCATTCCCATACATGCCTTGTAAGAAAGTAAAACTGTCTCTAAACATACATGCTATGAAGACAGATTCAGATTTCAGAAACAAATGTTCTTGCTTATGGCACAGGATTCTTTGCCTCCATTCCGGATTGTCGCGCCTGTGATTCACCTCGTACAGTTCACCCTGAGTGCATGCCAATTCCTGTGCCCCGTGGAGACCATCACTATCCTCAAGTGAACCGCTCAACAGGGGAGAGATTGTGCTTCTCATTCATGAGATCGCTTCCAGGACAGCAGCATCTCGGTAAGTGGGAACAGAGTTCAGTGCCCGTAACTTTAGTTTTTGAAAATAAACGTTTTGCACAGATTCTGTATGAGGTTCAGATGCAATTTATGAAATTTCACAAAGCAAGTTGGCTCAAGGGGTGACACTTCTGACTTGTATTTGTGAAGTGGTGGCTTTGAATCTCTGAAATCATTACCAGGATTCAGAAGTAGTTTAGTGCTTTCATCTGAAGGGTAGGTGAGTATGCATTGAGGTACTATGCTACAAGTCAGAAGGTCACTGCTTCGATTCCCGATGAGGTCATTGGATTTTTTAAATTTATCTAGTCCTTCCTGCTGCGCAGTGGCCCTGTGATTGACTGAGCCTTTAACAGAAATGAGTGCCATGAATCTTCCTGGAGGGTAAAGAGAGACTGGTGCATATGGCTGACAACCTTACTGTTATCTGTGAGCTGATTGTCTAGAAGATGTTGGAGCCTTGACGCTTCACAATCCTGTGGGCCTCCACGGTCTGTTACAGGGATAGCTTTACGGTTTTGGGGGGGTGGGGGTTGGTGGGGAGTGCTCAATTGAAATCTTGGCCAGGACACCATCTGTCTTAGCTTTTCCTCTCTCTTTGCAGCAAAATGCTGATATAGTACCTTGATTAGGCCATGACCAGTATAGGAGTGGGCAAAGGGCTGGATGGTCAGGGTTCAATTCCTGAGAAGAACAGGAGACTCTTCTTTACTACACAGTGTCCAGACTAGCTTTCGGGCCCACCCATTCTCCTATCCAACTGGTACTAGGGATTATTTCCCCTGTGATAAAGCAGCCGGGGCATGAAGCTTAACACTCACCTTCATCTAGTACTGAGGTCAAAAATAATGTAGTTATACCTCCACCCACACACATCTTCATGGCATGGTGTGTAATTAATTAAACTGACTGACAAATTTACCTCTATCAGTGCTTTCCAAATTCTTTCCAATTTAATGTTCGCTTATCACCTCAACATTTGAGGCTATGTAATCAGAGGTACTGACTGTCACAAAGTAAACCACTCACACACGTTCATGCTTAGGCTCACAGAGAGATGTTGTATTTATGATGCACAGGTGCACGGGAACAGATCAACCAGAACTCTGCCTACCTCGATACATCTCAAGTTTATGGTGAGCACTCCTGCATGGCTCGAGACCTACGGAGCTATGGGGGACGCCTCAATGTAACACGACACCCCATCAAAGGGAAAGACTTGTTACCTCAGTCTCCGGTCCATCCAGAGTGTAAGGCTCCTTCAGGGTACTGCTTCATAGCAGGTGTGTGTGAAACTTGCAACTGTAATGAGGATTACTGTAACAGAGGGAACTCCCCATTTAATGTTCCCCAGTTTAAAGTTTCCTGTCCTTTACTGCTCAGCTTCAGTGACGGAAAGTCAACAGTAAAGAACTCAAATCAGTTGCCTCTCCAAAGGAAACTTTAAATGAATGTTTAACTGTATATTGTATGTGAAGTGTAGGAGAATAATATTAAAATGTATCTTGAAGTACTAGCATGGGAGAGTATGAACTGGATTTATCTGATTCAGGATAAGGAAAAGTGGCAAGCTCTTGTGAACATAGTAATTAACCTTTAGGTTCCATATGCTGGAAATTTTGTGACTGGCTAAACAATTATTAGTTTCTCAAGAAGGTCTCTGCACCATGTATATAGGTAGTTAACAGTGTCTGGTAAAAGGAATGAATTATGAAGCTATCTGTATTTTAAGGAAAATTGGCCCTCAGTCATTACCCAGCTATGATGACAATGTTCTTCATTCTTCACGTACTTCAGGACAGTCTCCCCAATTTCAGGTCACTTACAGCTCTGCTTATGTCACAGGAGATGGTCGGGCCAGCGAACAGCCAGCTCTCACCGCGATCCACACACTGTTCATGCGTGAACACAACCGCCTCGTAGATGGTCTACATGTGGTGAACCCCCACTGGGACGATGAGCTCCTCTACCAACATGGCCGTCGCATTGTAACAGCTGTAGCACAACACATTACATACAATGAATTTCTACCTCGTATCTTGGGTTGGAATGCCATCAACTTGTACGAATTGAAACTAAGACCACAGGGATATTACAGGGGTAAGCATACAGAGAGCTAGAATTGTAAATTGTAACAGTATAATCTAAAGCATCTGATGTCCTATTCCAACACTTTTGCTGTCATAAACATGATAATGTAAATACCAAGTAACGTGGCTCAAGCATTAACATTTTTTTTTTACTTGTGTTTGTGAGGTCCACAGTTAATATTTCACTGGGGACACCAGCTATCCTGGCTGAGGTTTTTTGGGACTTTCCTCAATCTCTCCAATCAGATTCCAGGATGGCACCTGGATAAACTGAGCTATGAACACTTCCGTTCACATTTTTTCTGGTTAATGATTCACTCTCATCAGTCATTTCATGCTGTGTAGCGTGAGTCACTGAATGTCATGAAATAAACTATAAATAAATAAATAAAAAATGTGAAAATAAAGTCTTTTTACCATCTCTTGATAATTTATACAAACAATTTATGACTTGAAGAGTTCTGTCTTCTGGGAGATAACATCATGTAGTCCGTTGAAAGTCAGCTGATGCTTCAGAGGAACTTGTCAAGTTTGTCTTTAGGGTTAAATAATATGTCATGCAGGAAACCAGCAAGAAGCAGACAATAAGCAGAGCATGCCTGCATCATGCAGGTCTTCTGCTTGGCTTATTCTTCAACACTGGAGGCAACATATTTCCCAAAAATTTTAGTTGATTTTTAATAGACTGCATGCCATTTCATCCAAGAACTCTTATTAACCACTGCTGTGGAAACCTCAAATCTTACAATTTATGACTTATCAATGAAAACAATAAGTTATACACAGAATTTATGATGTCTGTTTTCTTAAAATACTTCAGTTTATATCACAAGGCCAGCAAGTACTATGCATTATGTTAGTATTGCTTTAAAATGTACTTTGTATATGTGCATATACAAATATATAACTTGCTTTCTAAATTACAGTTGGCTCAGAATAAAAGCCACTGATGGGTCAGTTATTCTGAGTGCAATTCTATCCCCATAGTACATGTCACCAGGTTTAATTCTTTAAATCAAAATGATAATTGTGTTTACCACGTGCTTTAATATTCAAGAACTCTTCTTAAATACAAAATGTATTTATCTATTTTATGTGGTTACCAAAGTAAACAGCAATTATTTCCCTGAACACCATTAACTGGTAGATCTTTATAATGAATACATAGTGCTTCTCCTGTGATGTAGGAACTAAATTTGTGTATATTGTTTCATGTTGCATGTATAACATGACAAATAAATTCATGCAGGTCTCGGATTTGGCGATGATGTTTGTTGGCCACACTCTTCTGCACTTCTGAGGACAATTATCATCCACTTATAACGTCATGAGACGTTTCTAACAACACTGTTATGATTACTGCTTCTGCCATAGTCAAAGTCAAACTGACTACTACTCTTCTACAGTCAAATGCAAACTAAACTGTTCTCGGCAACTTCCACAACCCAACCTACTGTCAACTGTCTGGTCTAAGTCCAAGTCCAAGTCACATTGTGACCGACGGTCCGTCAGTCAGTAAGTCATGGTGTTGAGCCCCATCTGGGGCCCATGACCAGATATTTTTTACTGTTTGGCATTTACGGTCTTGTTTTTGTGGGGTGCCCTTTCTGTCCGGTTCCTTCGAAGCTGGACTTTTATAACCTGATCTTGGACAGAATAGAATGCACCATTGGCCACTGTCATACAAATGAACCCTCTGTTGTCTTTCATCTCCTGGGAAACATGTTTGTTGTTCTTTCATCTCTATGGAAATGTGTTTATTTCTTAAGGTATTCCTAGGCAACAGCCCAATGTTATTGCGTTTCAATGAAAGTATACAGTTGTTGGATTCCTGACATGCGACAATTTTATTTATTGCAACTGATGAAATTCCCATCAAAAATTCAATGGGATAATTTGACAGTTTCCACCTCAATCTATGGTTTCCACAGATAGCCCTTCACTGAATTTGCACTTTAAAAGTTCTGGAAAACAGCTTCATATAAAAAACGTCTTCATGATCATCATCTTCATCATCATAAGAGTAGTAGCTGCAGCAATTTAGATGCACAGTATAGGTCAGCACTGTAATATCAATTGAGACATTGGCATTTGCTGACTCCATCTTCTGGTCCTGCTATAAGTAGCTTATATTAGTTTTGCACTTGGTTTCTACAGCATCAATACACTGACAAGCACTACCTGCATATATTGATAACATTAATAGGACCATCTACACAACAGTAATATACTAACATATCAACATTTATTCATTAGGCAAAGGCATTCGCTACATGTTGGATGTTCGATTTGAGGTCCTTGTTGTGGTGGTTATGTTTAGTATTATGTTCTGGTATGTGACACTGTGTGGTCTTGTAGAAGCCAAGCTTGGCCTGCTCTTTAACCCTACAATGGAGGCAGTATGTTCCCCCAAAACATTTGTGAAATTCTACTAGGCTACATGGTGTTATATTCCAGAAGGTACTACTCTTCACTAGCCTTCTTAGATTAATTATGTATAGATCTATGGTCTCAGACGATTAAATGGAACAGTGCTTATCCTGAGAGCCTTATGCAAATGAGACAGGATTAGGACTTCGAGGAAAGTAAATGAGTTTGATCAGCAGATACATGCATATTATCGGAGCAGTGTGAGGTGTAACACTGTCGGAATAATACCAATTTTACAGGATATAACCCAACATGCAACCCCAGCATTGTCAACGAGTTTGCAGCAGCAGCATTCAGAATTGGACACAGCTTGCTACGTCCACACATCCCACGTCTAAGCCCAACATATCAGGTGGTTGATCCCCCCATACTTCTTCGAGATGGTTTCTTCAACCCTGATATGATTTACCAGGTATACACTTTTTGTAGCAAATCTTCTTCTGTCAGGGCTGAAGTGGATGCAGTATGTACTTGTGAAGTGTTGGTACTAGACATGTCTGAGAATGACTTTCACAGTTCATAATGAGAATTTGGAAAAATTTCGAGATTCAAGACAAGAGCAATAATATTCTCTATTATAAAAATTTTTTAATTGTAATCACAGTTTATGATACTACCTACCGTTTCACAAAGAACTAAAATGTATTAATTCCTTTTGATATCACTCTTTTTTCAATCAAAAACTTTAATAAATCACTACATTATGAAACAGAATTCTGTGGGCACATCCAAGAAACCATTTTAGGGAAAGGAAAGATATTCTCCTGGACCATAGAGAGCCAGCTGGTGGGTCATATACAGCCCGCCTTCTACCAGTTCGACAGACATGACAATGATGGGTGAACAGATATAGACAACTTTCTCATAGTGTAATCTGTTTAGGATTCTATGCAAATATTGTAGAGAAAGTACCTTCCTTCTTGTCTCTAAGGCCCTTTAAGAACCTTGACCCTTTATGACAGATGCCCATTCTTTCCCATTGTTTGCCTTTTGCCTCCGTTTGTTCACTTACGTCTCTTGCACCTCACTCTACATATTTCAGCCATCTCAATGTGAGCCTTCCTGCTTCTGCTCCGTCTTGTTGTTTACTTCCACACATTGTCTTACCCATCCATGTTTGATCCATTGTAATTATGTTCCCCAACCACTCCAACTTCATCATTTTCATATTTGCTATTAGATCAGCACTGTATATATTTATCTCCATTCTTTGTTACCCCAAACTACTTGCTTAGTTACCAATCAGTGTCTATAAACTAGTGAATATGAATAGTGGAATGCATGAAGCCTGTCAGCAGCAGTGTTACCCACAGAAAATGTGTTATTAGGTCCATATGATTGACGAGATAGTACGAGGTCTGGTATCCACACCCATGGAGAATATGGATCAGTTTGTGACTGGGGAGATCACAAATCATCTATTTGAGGATCGCCACATTCCACACTCAGGGGTTGATCTCATTGCACTCAACATTCAGAGAGGTGAGGCTTGTTTTTTTGCTTCTGAGTATTGAAGTTAAGTGTTATTTTTGTAATGATGCTATGGTGCAGTAAACATGATTATTCCTTCAGATGTCATGCATTGTCTATAGTTTTTCAAACAAAATGTTTCAGAAACTGAATGTGTTTCCATCATCAGTTGTAATTGGGAAGAGTTCATATTCATTTTGGCTTGTCAGAAAGAGCTGGTCTCAATTACTAGGTCTACCAGTTTCAAGGATGTTCTGTTTGAAAGAATCACAGAAAGATGCACAGTATTTGAAATATTATGATACTGAGTTTTTATGTTGAGGTCATGACCACACAATTTGACCTCACAGTAACTACCATTCATTGTAATCAGACAGCATTATGTTTTTATATTGAGGTCGTGACCATGCAATTCGATCTTACAATGATTACCGTGCACTCTGCAACCTGAAACGAGCAAGCAGTTTTGAAGATCTGTCTCGTGAGATTCCTCCTGAAGTGATATCTCGCCTGAAGCGAATATATGCAACAGTGGATGACATAGACTTATTCCCTGGTGGCATGAGTGAACGTCCACTTCAGGGAGGCCTTGTTGGGCCAACCTTCGCATGCATCATTGGCATCCAGTTCAGACAGCTCAGGAAGTGTGATCGATTCTGGTAAGTTACTGTATGCAATTACTGAATAGGCGCAGTAATTAAATTTTCAGTTCTCATACTACAAAAGAAATAGAAGTGGGGATCATCCTAATGGATATGAGTTTGTTAACANATATAACTGGGCCACACTGTCACGGGGGGACATAAATACTGGGGCCTTGTCCTCCAAGTTGGGTTTGGACACAAAGCTGAGGACCGTGCTCTGTAAAACAATTACTGTTGAGAAATCCAAAGAAGTGAAAATCAGATGCAATCCGACGGAATCTTCTAAGGAAGGATATGGCTGAAAAAGGGCTGCTTTGCCAATGATTATGAATACGTATATAAATGCATCTTTCCTGTTTCCTGTTTTATGCTGTGTACTTAACAGAGAACACCTAAATGTAGTGGGAAATTTGTTCCCTACTCTTGCGAATATGTACAGCAGACATGGCTGTTAAGGCAGTGTGCATGCAGTGGAGCTGGCCCAGGCACTGTGGAGGAGAGAAAAACCTCTTGCCCTGTCTGGGATTGTACCACAATTTCTTAGCCATCCAACCTACAGCCTGTCATCATGCTGATCAAGCTCTCCTGGCTCACCTGCTCTCTCCCATATCCTTTCAAATTCTTTAGAAGATTAGTACAGATTTTCAGAAGTAGTTGGAAGGTGATACACATACAAACACATATATACACACCAAGGTGATTTAATGAGCCAATTTTTTATTTTCTCAAAATGAGGAAAGTAGGCTGATAAATTAAATCTGTTCTACCCATGGTTTTTGTGGATGCAGGTATGAAAATGAAGGCCAAGCTCTCCGGTTCACAGAGGCACAGTTGGCCGAGATACGCAAGGTGACACTGTCAAAGATTTTGTGTGAGAACATGGACATCCAGTCTGACATGCAGCGCTCTGTGTTTGATCAGCCCAGCAATTTTCTGTGAGTATGTATAATTGCAGGGTGCGGATTACTGTCTTCTCGGTTAGGATTCTAAGTTGTCTGGTAGATATGTACTAAATACACGGCATCATGATAACTATGTACCAGAAAACATCGGATCACATCCCACCAGACAATTCATCTTCATAGCCATTACTCTTGAGAACCTCAAACCTCACCCAGTGCAGCGTGTTTCAGAACTATAGCAGATAGAGTGACTTGAGGTTTTCATAGTGGTGTTTATGAAGAGTTCTGTCTTCTGGGACCCCATGTAGTCCGTTCAGAGTCAACTGATGTTTCAGAGGAACATATCACCTCCAGCTTCATGGTCTAGAATAAGCCAAGAATCAGCTGTTATCCTGTCCTTGTCTCCTACTGCTTCACTTGGTTATGTAGGAAATCCAAGGGGAACTGACTGTTCATTGTGTCCTGGAGGCAAGCCATTGGGAACTGACTTTCTGTCTTGAATTTCCCTCCTCTTTCTTATGTAATCCGAAATTTTGGCAAGCCAATTACTCTTGCTTGCTACCTGTGCTTCACACTGGTTTTTTGCTTGGCTTATTCTTCAACCCTGAAACAAAACTATAATTTTGCCTGTGGTTCTGTATGGGTGTGAAACTTGGTCTCTGACATTAAGGGAGGAACATAGAATGAGGGTGTTTAAGAACAGGGTGTTGAAGAGAATATTTGGACCAAAGAGAGATGAAGTGACAGGAGGTTGGTGAAAACTGCATAATGAGGAGCTTCATAACTTGTACCCTTCTCCGAGTATAATTAGAATGATCAAGTCAAGGAGGATGAGGTGGGCAGGTCATGTAGCACGAATGGGGGAGACAAGGAATGCGTATAGGTTACTGGTGGGAAAGCCAGAAGGAAAGAGACCACAGGGAAGACCAAGGTATAGGTGGGTGGACAATATTAGAATGGTTCTTAGAGAGATAGGATGGGATGGTATGGATTGGATAGCTCTGGCTCAGAATAGGGACCAGTGGAGGGCTCTTGTGAACACAGTAATGAACCTTCAGGTTCCATAAGACTATGGGAAATTCTTGAGTAGGTATAGAATTGGCAGCTCCTTGAGTAAGTAAGTAAGTAAGTAAAACTAATGTCATGATTGAGTGGCTAACACTCCTGTGATACATTCAGGAGGTACATTATTTGACTCTCAGCTTAATATTTGCTATTGTGATTTAGGATTTTATGGCTTACCTCACATTAATATTAACTATATGACTGCTAAGCCCTGCTAGAAATTTCAATGCTGCTTGAGAGAAAATCCAGTTGCCCAGAAAAGACCACAATACGTTCCTCAGATGGCCTTCAAATGGCCCAAGTATGGATCACATGAAAGCCTGTCCTTTCCTCCAAACGCTGATGTGTCACAATCAGTGCTGCCTATTGCTGTATTACTTGATGAACAAGGAGCCAATCTCTTCCGCTGTAGCAGTTTCAACATAAGTAGTGAGCCGATATAATCCCTAATAGCATGCAAATGGTTAATACCAGGAGAACACCTTAAAACATCATGAAAACACCTACCATTTTCTTTCACATGTCATTTTCATTATGGGCCGATATATTAGAAACATTTGATGCTTAATGAATCAAGGAACACAACTTCACCCCACATTAGTCAACAGATCACTGTGTACAGCTCATTGAAAGTGAATCAGGATTATATTGGATCATTGATAGACTGAAACTGACAGGAATCAACACAAAGGTATTACAGTGACAAGATAATGTGTTTGCTTTCAGGAATCCTAGAGTGGCATGCCATTCAATGCCTCATGTTGACCTCACCAAGTGGAAAGAGACTCCACAAGGCTGTCAGATTGGAGGCCGTTCTGTAGCTGTTGGAGATTCGGGATTCCCTACACCTTGTACTAGCTGCATTTGCACTACAGAAGGGGTGAGGCACTTTGTTAACACTTTGCGGACCAGCGATTTAAATATTTAAATCACCCTGGGGACCGGTATTTTTATACCTACTACCCTAACTTGTGCACTGTTCACTTTAAAAATTAATATAAAATCTCCCAATTAATTTTATGAACTAAAATTTTTGGAGAACACTTACCAATGCTCCTAGAAGTGCTTGAGAGTGTGATATTTCTGGAAACATTCCCCTTTGTGAAGTGGCATTACATACTTGCAAATGTAGACAGTCATACTCCTTTTTTTGTGAACTGTGCAAACATGGCATTGCCTAGAAGGATGCTTCCCCTTGGAATGTTCACTCTTCACAATTTTCATGAGGGTATGTTTCCGCATATCACCCAAGAGTCGCCCAGAGGTGTCCACATGAGGCCTGCATGGGGTGGGAGTAGATGGGCCTGGTTGCACTAAGACTGTGTCTGCCACCAGTTCTGCTGCCACCGTGTGGTCTGTAGCCCAGGCTTTTGCAACATTCAGCAGAAATGCCTTGTATTTCAATTTTGAATGAGGGTTTAGAATTTTGAAAACCAAAAATGAATTTAAAATGGCACAATTTATAAGCCACAAGGCAACTTTCTTTGTCCACTTTACTGTTTTCCGAGGAAGAGAATAATAGGCCAAGTACTGATCGGCTCTATCAACCCCGTCATGAACATATTATACTCGGAAATACAAACGGGCTTCACTACCTGTCCATGTCCCCTTTGAACATCAACCATGCTCGAATTGTGAATTGTAGAAATCATATTCACAACACGAGTATCCCTCCAGGACCGAAGAAGAATATCCCCCTTCCTCCTGAATGTGGTTTCACCACGTTTCAGGGATTTACATTCCTCTTTCAGATTTGGAGGAAGGCATCTGTTCACCCTAATTGTTACACAAACACATACTTTTCTCAGAAGTAGGTGTTCTGCAGTTGCCACACTGTTATAATAATTGTCTTGATAGACATGGTAATTTTGATCATGATAGGGTTCCAAAACGGAAAGAATAGTTTCTTGTAATTTCTTTCCTTCACCAGAATAAAATTCTAAATTTCCAATATAGGCTGAAGTGCTTTCAGTAACTACACAAACAAGTAGGCCATACTTTGTAAGTTTCCCAGGATATGTTTGCATATTGCACTACTCACTGACAGCTTGCTACATACAGCTTAAAGAAATAGAGGCATTTATTTTCCTTTGAAGGGGCGTACAGTTACAGCGAGGTCACATAACTGATTAGTCAGCAAACATTTCAGAGGCTTATCTCGCAGCTGCAGGCAGCTATGTGCAAGCTGGGTGGTGTCAGAGCGATGTATAGTGTGTTGCGGCTTATCGTGTTCTAAAAACGTATTAAATATGCAACCGGTCCACCACGTTTAAAAGCGAAAAACATATTAATGCTTGTGCGGTCCTCAAAGTGTTAAGTAGAGTCATAATTCTGTAATGTTTGTGTGAGTGCTTTAATAATGATAAAAACTCAGGTGACCAGCTGCTTCAGTTCAGAGCTGATGTCCAGTGTTCCAATAGATCTACTTGTTCGATTTGAGTTCTCACACTGGTGACAACGAAGAATACTACTTTCTGCAATTCTACACCATGTAGTGTGGTAGAATTTCACCAGTTTTATGAAGGAATATACAACTTCCATCCTTAGTGTCAATGAGTAAGCCAAGCAAGTAACCAGCAAGAAGGGCCGCGCCACAGCTCAAGCAGTTAGTCGCTGGCTTCCCACTGTGGCAGCCTGGGTTCGATCCCGGGTCTGGTGAAGTGAGATTTGTGGTGGACAAAGTAGATCTGGGGCAGGTTTTCTCTGAGTACTTCGGTTTCCCCTGCCAATTGTCATTCCACCAATTGCTCCACAATCACCCTCACCTATCATCTGGGACTGGTACAATATGCCAGAAGTGGCCGCAGTACAAGGGACTTAGTCCCACCCCACTAACATTAAAAAAAACCAACAAGAAGCAGCAAGCAAGCAGAGCTAGATCTGTAACATTATATGGCATCACATCCCAGACAATTCTCATAGTCACTGCATTAATAACCTTGAATCTTATGTGTATGAATTGAAGATTAATGTTTCCTAGGATATGACACCATGTAGTAGGCAGATCATTCTCTGAAAATGGAAGCACCAGATTCCTCCCAAGATCGGTAATTATCTACCAGACTATGTAGTACCACATCTCAGAACTCAGTGATCTTCATGAGAATAACACATCTCATGTGCATATGCATTCCTTGCAGGCACAATGTGCATCACTGCGCATCACTGACTGTGGCCAGCTCCTGCGTGAGGCAAGTCGTGATGCCATCTTACGGGACGACATATGCACAGCGCAGTGTGGCTTCTTGCTGCAGGATGGTTCAGCTGTACCATCGGTTCAAGACAGTGTAGACATTGTGTTCACAACAACGGTACCGCCACCCATCTCACTGCGCTCTCAATCCCGCAACTTGCCAACTGCACTAGTGCCACCATTGCCAGCGCTGCAAACATCACCACGCAGATCTCAGAGAACACAGTTAGCAAATACATTTGGAGGAGGTTTCGAACAATTACCTGATCTCTCACGCTTTCTCGGCTGAACAGTTGTTGCACATAATATTATGCACTGGGGAGAATCCCATATTGTTACCATATCTTAAGGGGGAAGGCCCTCAAAAGAGGACTAAAGGTACACACACAAGTGTCAGCTGTGGTAACACTGCTCAGTCAGTCCACTGTGGTTCAGTTAATGTAAAGCTGTGGCTAACATTTTCCAGTCCAAGTGTATACAAATGATTCTGAAAGAAGGTACTAAATCTCTGGGTATATTAATCAAATGACTTTGAGCACAAAAATCCCATTTAATGTGGGATCAATTTGAAAAATATTTAAGAAGACGAAAATTTTGATGTGAGATAGACACAAACCACAAATAAGAATATACATTTCTTATTAAATTCAATGTAAAAATAAAATGTTTTGGATTTGATGTTATCACAGCAGTGACTATGAAGACTTTTACCTGCTGTGAGATAATGCCGTGTAGTCTGATGGAGGTCAGCCGACATTTTGGAGTTACATATTGCCCCCATCTTCAGTGTTAAAGAGTAAACAAAGCAAGGAACCAGAATGAAGCAGGTAGCACAGGATCTACTTCATGCCTGCTTCATATATGTTTCTTGATTGGCTTACTCTCTTGATGTGGCATGCGGTAGCATGGTTGAGTCACTAAGCTACAAACCTGAAGGTTGCAGGTTCAAGTTCCGATGAGGTGTTTCTTTTTCTCTCTCTCTTCCCCAGCAGCACTATGGCCCTGGGGAGTAAACTCACCCGCTAACAGAAATGTATACCAGGAATCTTCCTGGGGGTAATAGGTGGCTGATGCTTAAGGCTGGCAACCTTACCGCCATCTGTGAGCTGATTCTCTAAACAAAATGTGGGAGCCTCAATATCTCACAACCTTCACAGCCTGTTGCAGGAGTAGTTTTTTTATAGCTTACTCTTTGATGCTGAATTTTGAGGCGATATTTTACTCCAAATGATCGGTTAACTTCCATGAGTTTACATAATGATGTATTCCATGAGATAGAATTCTTCATAAAATAGTCATTATTTAATAATGGAACATGTTTAAAAAACTGTTTAGAGTGTCTGCCTATGATTTGAATACACATTTGAGCATGGCATATTATGGAAGTAGTTGGCAACATTGTACTCAAATGTGCAATTAAGCCACAAATGGATCTGTAGTTGTAATAGTCCACTAAAATATAGGGTATTTAAACAGTTAATTTAATCATATTGTTATCTTATAGGTTGTAACTCCATATAGTCTTGTTATTTGTTAGAAACATGCTACCTACACCTTCAGGTTAATGATAAGTTCGAGTTCACTACAACTGTGAAGCTGAGACAGTTTGTTGTGATGAAATGTCGATACACCCCTGCAAGGTTAAATGGTGTCAGAACACTTAAGATAAAAATCTGCACAATCACTGTGATGAAACCTTAAAACCAGTAATAGTTCTTTTAGTTTTGCATTGAAGTTATTGCAAAAACTTTTTCTCTTGTGCTTGTAACATGTATGCGAACTACCATGAATCCCATGAACTGTCCAGATTAGAGCCATGCTACAAGAACTTTCTTTTTACTCAAAATAGCTTTATCAAAGTGTGCACACAAATATGGCAGACTCCTCCTGAATTACTTTGCAGATGTCAATGTCCCTCATTAGATAATGAAGATATCTTAATATAGTGTGTGTGGAAGCCATAAATGAATCCTTGACTGATTGGTTGTAGTTACAATGTAAGCGTATGTCACTTTATAAGCTCGTGGTTGCAGACTCCCATACAAAGAAGCAGCTTTTGTATAACAATTATTATTTTAAACTGTTGTCAGAAAGTGTCACACTGGCAAGTCTTAAACTATTGAAGTACAATAAAAGTAAAAGTAAAGTAAAGGTATCCCTGTAACAGGCTGTTGATGCCCATAGGGTTTTGCGATGCTGAGGTTCCCACATTTTCTAGACAATTGGCTCATAGATAGCGGTAAGGTTGTCAGCCTTATGCACCAGCCACCCTTTACCCCCCAAGAACACTCCAAGAATATTCCTGGTGCACATTTCTGTTAGAGGCTGAGTCGACCCCAGGGCCATAGTGCAGCTGGAAGGATTAGGTAAATTGAAAAAAATCCACCTCATTGAGATTCAATCCCACAACCAACTGGCTTGTAGCATAGTGCCTCAACCAACTATTCTACCACATGCCCCATTGAAGTACAATAAGTAAATTATAATTTCTAGGTTATGGTGTTCTTGGATATGACACCATAGGACTTTGATACATATGTACCAATGTTTCAGAGCAAGGTGGAGACAGCAAATGCCTCTACAACATGGGTATTTATCTATGGAACCACACAGTGTCATATTCCAGAAAATGATAATCTCATTATTCAACATGAGAACCACAAGTCTCACAATTTATTTATATTATGTATATACAGAACATATAAGAGCAGATAGCAACTATTCTCATGGCCGCGCCATAGCTCAAGCGGTTAGTCGCTGGCTTCCCACTGCGGTGGCCTGGGTCTGATCAAGTGGGATTTGTGGTGGACAAAGTGGCGCTGGGGCAGGTTTTCTCAGAGTACTTCAGTTTCCCCTGCCAATCTTCATTTAACCAAATTCTCCATCATCATAATCACCTGGGGCAGGCTACAATAGGCCAATCAGTGGCTGCCCTGCCGAGGAAACCCAGTTGGACTCCACTCCCCATTAAGTGAATTAAAAAAAAGTATTCTCAGACAAAATTCACCACAATGAATTTAACTAAAATCTGAAGGCAACAGTTTTCATGGATTTCTTGGTTCTGACGCTATACAGTTTGATGGATAATGGATTTAGTGGATGTGGCACTATGTACCTTGACATGTTGGATTTCTTGGATGTGACACTGTAGTTTTGACTGATAAAGGAATTCTTTCATATGACATCATGTAGTCTGACAGACTACAACCAACCAAGACAGGGGTCTTGGTTCTGACACTATGCAGTTCGATATATAACACTTCATGGATAAGGCACTGTGTAGTTTGGTAGATAGGTATCAATATTTCAGAGGAATCTGCGACCTCCATCCTCAGAGACAGTATTTCTACACTAAAGTTATAGGAATCAGGTTCCTATAAAATGTTGGTATCTGTCTATCAAACTATGTGATTTCACATCCCAGGAGACTATGATCTTAATACTGACTCACCTGGAAGCCTCACAACTCAGAGGGTCATATATGCTTGCACACAAAGGGAGACATCTGATATCTTCTGTGGCATTACCGTGTCATAGATTTACATATGTTTGTTTGTTTTTCTGACCTTTTCAGTACTGTATTTCATGTAATTTATAGTGAAGACTCAAAATTCATTGTTCTGTATTTATACTTTACTGGAAGTGATACAGCACTTATTTGGTGGTTATTTTGGCATATTCTGACCCTGAGTTATGATGAAATTGAAGGTTGGGCAGGCCTTGCTCCTTACTGTAATATACTTGAGTGTTCTTGTTCTGAAGTTGCACTGAGCAGACTCAGTGACAACATGACTATATGTAATGATTGGTAAAAGATAGTTTATTGACAGCTTTCTGTTGTATGATACTGCTACCATCATTTCACTGTGCCATACATCAACCTGATATCACCTGAAAGGGTGCAAGATGACATGAAAGCTGCCTTCACTAGGCTAACCAGTATGATTAATTTACGCACTGTGAACCAGCAGAATGTCTTAAATTTCCTCGATGGGTTATGGCAGTATGACTTTCAGAGCTGCATCACTAAACTAATTTCATACTATCCTTACATCTGGGGACAAAATTCTTTGAGAAACTATGCCAAGATTATGTAGATTACCCTCTTTTGGAATCATGCCATGCAGTCCAGTAGATCGTCATGAATGTAGTTAATGTGGGGAAGGGAATGTATTGATATAGGAGGAGAGACCAGGGACCCTCAGTGAACAATTAGGAGAAAGAGGATCAGTGAAAGAAATATATGACTTTTAGAAATGTTTCTTCTGAGGGCAGAGTGATTTGAAGAAATAATGTTTGGGAGAACCTACAGGCAGGTAGAAGAAAATCGGGAGAAACAGAGTAATTAAACAATGGTCCTTTCCCCTCAAGGGTAGAGTGAATGGGAGAAAGATAAAGACCATTTAAACGGTCACTGGCTCCGTGTGTTTCTTGCGGCTTCCCTCTACCTGTCTGTTGGTTCATCCAGCCATTATTTCTTGCAGTAGCTGTACACTTGGAAAAGGCCTGCTTAGGAGCCAGTTATATTCCACAGTGTTCTTTCTGTTCCTCTTGTTTTGCTCAGAGTTCCTGTTCCAGCCTGTTTCCCTATACCCATACTATCATTTGCTGTACTCAGTTTATTGTTTTACCTTGGAGATGGAGGCAGTAGGTTTCTCCAAAATTTAAGCACCTATCAGACTACACTCATTCATATCCCATAAGACAGCAATCTTTCTCTTCACTGCTGTGAGAACCTCATATCCCAAACAGAAGTATGTAGTTCCCATGTCTTAGATAATATTCCACTTGTAAGTAAAACAGAGAGTTTCATATAAATCAGGGTGATTTTTATACATTAAAGTACAAAATTACAAATCAGAGTTATTCATTCATTTATATCTAATGACAAAACTAATCAATTCTAAATGGAGTGTCAGAAGACAAAAATAGCTAACATTTCTATGGATAAAATTGAAACTTCAGTTAGTAATGAAACTCAAGTGATTACTGTACATATGAGGATGTGAAGGTTGCCTAATATGTAAGGATAAAAAGAAGAGAGGTTAAATCAGTAAGTTTTTCCTCTATATGCATCATATTTTTCATGAATACATCTTCCTGAAAATTAGATCTGCTGAGACAGTTACAGATATTGCAAAACAGAATTCTTCCATCATTTCAGAGGTCTTCCTAAACTTCTTTTACCTTACAGCTGGTATCTTAAGATCTATTTTGGAATCCTGTTAGAGCTCAGTCTTTCAACATGTTCTTTCCAGTTTCATCTGTTTTTCTCTAAATTCTATTGTTTGTGAAATTTATAGTTCTTCCTTAATTCCTTTGTTCCTTTCATTGTTTGAAAGGGTGTCATGAGACACAATTTGGCTGATATCAGTCTTGTTTTATCAGTTCTCTCGCTGTCTGTGATTCACTGCCACGGGACAGAGTTGGTCTAGCGAGTGTCTTAAAAACTCAAGCTCTTGTCTGTCTAGAGGCTGATGGTTTGAAAATCTCATTCACGTTCTTAACATTTTGACAAAAATTTTCAATTCTTACATTCAAATCCTTTTCCCCTTCACAGGATGTAATATATCCCAAACAATTACAATTATTAGTAATAAGCTTCTTAATAAAGCCCTGAACATATATGTAAGGCTTCATAAGAGATTAATGCAGTGATATTACAAGTTACCTTTACAAATATATGAGATGTACGTATATGAAACCTAGAATTAAGCTAAAATCTGTAAAATTCATTAGAATAAATCGACACCCTTGTCTCAAGATTTTAACAATTCAGATGTTTTATAAGTGTATCTTTTTGTACATTTTGCATAAATTTACTCTGCACATTGCTGCATATAGGACCCATGCTCAGAGACATTAACACATAATCAGGTTGTTATACGAAGTATTTATTGTGTTGTAAAGTGTTCCCATTAGGGAAATTTGTTTTATAAAAATAAAAGACTCAGACATTAAATAATATTGTCTTTATTTGACAAGGCATGTTGCT